CGGAGTCACAGACACGCTTCTTCCAGTGCGCCGTGGACATGCTGCACTATTTTGCCGGCAAACAGATACGCAATGTGGCCTGCTTGGGCGGGAACATCATGACTGGCAGTCCCATCTCCGATATGAATCCCGTGCTAACTGCGGCTGGTGCCCGCCTGGAAGTGGCCAGTCTGGTTGGGGGCAGGCGTTCGGTCAACATGGGCAGCGGCTTCTTTACTGGCTATCGACGCAATGTCATACAACCGCAAGAGATTCTGTTGGGCATACACTTCCAGAAGACCAAGCCGGATCAGCATGTGGTGGCATTCAAGCAGGCGCGCCGGCGTGACGATGACATAGCCATCGTGAATGCGGCCGTGAATGTCAGCTTCGAGCCCGGCTCCAATGTGGTGCAGCGCATACAAATGGCATTCGGTGGCATGGCACCCACCACGGTGCTAGCGCCACGCACTGCTGACCTGATGGTGGGTCAGTCATGGAATCAAGCGCTGGTCGAGCGGGTGGCGGAAAGCCTGTGCGCTGAGCTGCCCTTGGACGCCTCGGCGCCGGGCGGCATGATAGCCTATCGACGTGCCCTGGTGGTCAGCTTGTTCTTCAAATCCTATTTGGCTATCAGCCGAAAGCTGTGCGATGCTGGCATTATGCCGCCGGATGCTGTGCCCAAGGCGGAGCTGAGCGGCGCCGATAGCTTTCACACTCCCGTCTTGCGCAGCGCCCAGCTGTTTGAGCGTGTTGCCAGCGAACAGCCCACTCAGGATCCGATTGGCAAGCCCAAGGTGCATGCAGCTGCCCTGAAGCAGGCCACTGGCGAGGCCATCTACACGGATGACATACCACGCATGGACGGCGAGCTATATTTGGGTTTTGTGCTGAGCACCAAGGCACACGCCCGTATAATCAAGCTGGATGCCAGCGAGGCGTTGGCCTTGAACGGAGTACATGCCTTTTTCAGCGCCAATGATTTGACAGAGCACGAGAACGAGGTGGGCCCGGTATTCCATGATGAGCACGTCTTTGCCGCTGGCCAGGTGCATTGCTATGGCCAAATTGTTGGCGCTATAGCTGCCGAGAATCAAACGTTAGCCCAACGCGCCGCTCGGCTGGTGCGCGTGGAGTATGAGGAGCTGCAGCCAGTGATTGTCACCATCGAGCAGGCCATCGAGCATCAGTCGTATTATCCCGACTATCCACGCTATGTGACCAAGGGCGATGTGGCGTCGGCCTTTGCCGAGGCGGATCATGTGTACGAGGGCAGCTGCCGCATGGGCGGCCAGGAGCATTTTTATTTGGAGACTCATGCAGCGGTGGCTATGATCCGCGACAGCGATGAACTGGAATTGTACTGCTCCACACAGCATCCATCGGAGGTGCAAAAGCTGGTGGCGCATGTTGTCAATCTGCCTGCCCATCGGGTTGTGTGCCGCGCCAAGCGTCTGGGCGGCGGTTTTGGTGGCAAGGAATCCCGTGGCATTTCGGTGGCATTGCCCGTGGCCCTGGCTGCCTACCGGCTGCGTCGGCCTGTTCGTTGCATGCTGGATCGTGATGAGGATATGCTAATCACCGGCACAAGGCATCCGTTCCTCTTCAAATATAAAGTGGGCTTCAGCCGTGAGGGCCTCATCACGGCCTGTGAGATTGAGTGCTACAACAATGCTGGCTGGTCCATGGATTTGTCCTTTTCGGTGAGTAGTATATGGCATGTTTCTGCTTGGTATATATGCTCACTGGCATCATTTCCAAACAGGTCCTGGAGCGCGCCATGTATCACTTTGAGAACTGCTACCGCATTCCGAATGTACGTGTGGGCGGTTGGGTGTGCAAAACCAATCTGCCCTCGAATACGGCCTTTCGCGGCTTTGGTGGACCCCAGGGCATGTTCGCCGGCGAGCACATCATTAGGGATGTGGCCCGGATTGTTGGCCGTGATGTGCTGGATGTGATGCAGCTGAATTTCTACAAAACCGGCGACTATACACACTACAATCAGCAGCTGGAGCGTTTTCCCATCGAGCGTTGCTTTGCGGATTGCCTTCAGCAGTCGCGCTACCACCAGAAGCAAGCGGAGATAGCGCGCTTCAATCGGGAGCATCGCTGGCGCAAACGTGGCATAGCCTTGGTGCCCACCAAATATGGCATTTCCTTTGGCGTCATGCATTTGAATCAGGGTGGCGCTCTAATTAACATCTATGGGGATGGCTCGGTACTGTTGTCGCATGGCGGTGTGGAAATTGGACAGGGCTTGCATACCAAGATGCTACAGTGTGCTGCCCGAGCCCTGGGCATACCCATTGAGCTAATACACATCTCGGAGACATCCACGGATAAGGTGCCCAATACCTCGCCCACGGCGGCCAGTGTTGGGTCCGATCTGAACGGCATGGCCGTGCTCGATGCTTGCGAGAAGATTAACAAGCGCCTGGCGCCAATTAAGCAGGCGCTGCCCACGGGCACCTGGCAGGAGTGGATCAACAAGGCATATTTCGATCGTGTCAGCCTATCGGCTACAGGTTTCTATGCTATACCGGACATAGGCTATCATCCAGTAACAAATCCCAATGCGCGCACCTACAGCTACTATACAAATGGTGTGGGCGTGTCTGTTGTGGAGATTGACTGCTTGACGGGCGATCACCAGGTGCTCAGCACGGACATTGTGATGGACATTGGCTCGAGCATTAACCCAGCCATTGATATTGGTCAAATTGAAGGCGCCTTCATGCAGGGCTATGGGCTGTTCACACTCGAGGAGCTGATGTACTCGCCGCAGGGCATGCTCTACTCTCGGGGACCGGGCATGTACAAACTGCCTGGCTTTGCAGATATACCCGGCGAGTTTAATGTTAGCCTGCTCACCGGTGCACCCAATCCACGCGCTGTTTATTCATCAAAGGTGAGGCATTTGGTAGCCCGTACGCGTATATATATACATATATTTACATCCCATTTGTTCAACTTTCAGGCCGTTGGCGAACCTCCGCTTTTCATAGGCAGCTCAGCCTTTTTTGCCATCAAAGAAGCCATTGCTGCGGCCCGCTTAGGGCAAGGCTTGAATCCCGATTTCAATTTGGAGGCGCCTGCCACCTCGGCACGCATACGCATGGCCTGCCAGGATCAATTTACTCAACTGGTAAGTCCGTTCCACTCAGTTGAATAAAACTAATTCTTTATGCATTTCAGCTTGAAATGCCAGAGGCGGGCACCTATACGCCCTGGAATATAGTGCCATAACAGTGGACAGTGCCCATATACATACATTTCTCATATAGAAATATTTAAATGTGTACAGTACAATAATGATTATAATTAATAATTACTTAAATTATAGTTCTAATTGAATAGTTGTTATATAGTATCTAATGCTTCTTAAACACAATTCTCTCCACCCAGTCCAGGTAGGAAAACAACTTGGTGTAGACGCCTGGTGCATTGGGCGAGGCACAGAATTTGCCAAATGATGTAATGCCCACGACAAAGGCCACACAATTGTTTTCGGGCAATATGGCATGCAGTGGTCCGCCCGAGTCGCCCTGACATGTGTCCTTGCCGCCCGGCAAATAGCCAGCGCAAAACTGGGAATCAATGATTCCATTTGGCAGACGTCGTTCCTTGCGATAGATTTGCTTGCAACGCTGTTGCTTTATCATGTCTAGATCTACCTGGCGCAACGTATTGGACTTGGCGCCTAGAAACTCAGTACGTCCCCAGCCAGTGGCCACCACAGACTGAATGTGCAGTTCAGGCATTTGCCACAAGCAGGCTGGACGCACATTCTCCGACAGTTTGGCGCGTTTGGTCAACTTGAGCAGCGCTATGTCATGGTAGTAGGAAGACGATCGATACTTTGGATGCAGTATAATTATAAGTATTTTAATGTCTTGCTGCCAGGGAGTGGTCACATTTAGTTGCTGTGCGCCCAGTCGCACCATGTCTGGTGGTTTACTAAAATGAAAAAAAACAATGTAAGTCGGGTCTTCTGGGGTCTTGCCACTCACCTACCCGATGTGGCGCAGTGTGCCGCCGTGAGCACATAATTCTCACTGACCAGCGTCCCGCCACAGCCCCATTTGATGTCACCGTCGCTTTGCGTCCAACCCAATGCAGTCATATGTGGAAAAAGGGCATGCAGTGTGGGCGTGCCACCCACTATCAACGGCACACTGGACACACACTGTTTGCCTGAGAAGCTGCGTCCAGTGTCGCCCAGACGCAGATCCCTGGTGGCGCTGTTGTACTCCTGGCATTCTAAAAATTGACAGGCAGTTTGAAAAAAATAGCTAAATAATCTTTAAAAGGCTAAGGAGCTCTCTCTCCAAATACAGCTAGAAAATATCTAAATTGGCAACACTGGCTGGACCAACTTACTTGTGGCACTTATGCGCTGTGCCTGAACATGCTTGTCGGCCAATGGACAACAAATGACCGGCACGTTGTTACGATGCGTGCAAACGTCAATACGTGTGCCGTGCACGCGATATTCGCGTATGACATGAAGGCACTGGTAAGCCAGGATGCAGTAGCCGCTGCGCCCATCAAAGCTGCGCCGGCAAAAGGCGCCCTCTTGTAGCGGCTTTGCCGCTCCAGACTGCAGCTCATCATCGTTGTCAAATTTAAAGGAGCTATCCGACGGTTCAGTTTGCTTTTCCCTCTTAGATGCGGCGGCGTCGGATGCAGCCGCCTCCTGCGGCCAAAGTTCTGGAAACGTATATTTTGTCGTTTGGTAATTGACTATCTCAAAGGCTGCTGAAAACTAAACATTTAAATAGGCATTAAGTATTCCATATATCCACTTTTATTACCACTTAACGTATGTGTTAGCAGAAGAAATAACATGAGTTCTAGGCTTATAATTGTTGACAAAATTGGCATTTCTGCATTTGTCGTTTCATTTGTTTTGATTCTTGTACATTTGTAAACATGTAAATAACGTAATCCAGCTGGTCAGCAAACGCGCCATGTGGACAGTGCTGTAAAGCGCGACAAACTCCCAAACGGCACTCTAATCAGGAGCCAGTGTAAAGCGTTGCCATGCAGCTTTTTTATTAAATCGATAGGGCAGCCTCGGTATTTTTCGAAAATTGCAATGGCCGGCAAAAGTAAAAAGAAACGAAATAGTAAAGATTCTACATCTAGCAACGCGGGAAGTGGCGAAGGCGATGATAAGAAAAAGAAGGAAGGCGTTGGTGGCACTAAGAAAAAAGGTGGTGTGGGCAAGTCCATCGGCTGTGATATATTTAATGATGCCGCAATGGAAAATGCCTACTATGTGTGCCACAATGTGCAGGTGGGATATCAACAGAAATAAATAAACTACATTTAATTGATGATGTTTTTGCAGGACGTGCTAAAAACTCGTGGATTTCCTTGGCCGGATGGACAAAAGAAGAAGAAAAAGGGCAAGCGTTGAGAAACACTTTCAAATATAAATATGATTCGTGTATGACTGTATTGATTTATTTATAAAACTAACAACAATACGTTAAATTCATTCGATTGAGATTTTGTACACGCTTTTCATTCATAAATACGTCTCAACTGCAAAACTGTAAAAGGGCAATAATATCTTTACCTGTTTTCCTATTTATACCAGTCCAAGTCGTCATCATCAATTTAGAACCAAAAACAATTTCTCAACGCCAAACGTCAGCATCAACACTTTCTAGAACAAACGTCAAAATCTCCAAAATACAAAACCATATCAAAATTGTCGGCGTGTGAAAATTACAAATAACAAAAAAAAAACAAACACACACAAAACACATTTAGACTCGTTTTGTAGAATTGCCAAAAAATCTTTGAAGGCGACTAGCGCAAAGATTGCACCATAAAAATCCGAGAGTCGTGCGGGCACACGATTCAGTTGGGCGGCATCTCTGGCAGTAAGCGGATCATTGTGACGTCATCGTCATCGTTAACAAAGCGCTTGGATCAGTGTTGGACAAAACATGGCAAAAGCACCGGCAATTGGCATCGATCTGGGCACAACCTATTCCTGCGTGGGTGTCTGGCAGAACAATAAAGTGGAAATTATTGCCAATGATCAGGGCAATCGCACAACGCCATCGTATGTGGCCTTTAATGAAACGGAACGCCTTATTGGCGATGCCGCTAAGAATCAGGTGAGTAAACGTTGTTCATGTTGCACTTGACACCAAATGTGGCTGGCCATAATTGGCCAAATATGAGCGCAGAGCATGTATATGGGCGTGCGTGTGTGTACAGTGAAAGCTTTGCTAATGAACAACAGGTCCACAGTTCCAATTTTTTTCATTACTTTTTCGGAAAAATCGATCTCCATGCGACGGACGTTTATTTGAGCAGTTGCAGACATGAATTTTCTAACGGAAAAAAATTGAACTTTGAAATCTAAATTCAAAAAGTTATCAATCGTTCAAATTATTTACCATTAACATAAAAAGCCATCCTTAGTTTTTGGTGTTCCTTTGGCATATCGGTTAAGCGTCAATCCCCATCCTTCCTGTACCGCGAGTGTTTGCTCACGAGTTTTTACTGTATTTATGTATTGCCAAACAGATGACTGCGTCTATAAGTAATTTAATTGAAACACGTACATATCTTCTTATAAATATGTTTGCATATGTTTATAAATATATGAAATTCAACAGAATATATGGGGAGCATCCTAACAGTTGGCCTCTTAAAAATAGATATTTGGCTGACTAATTGCTTAACCACGCCCATATTTCCCATACGATTTCAGGTGGCGATGAATGCCAAGAATACGGTTTTCGATGCGAAGCGTTTAATTGGACGCAAGTTCGATGACCGTAAGATACAGGAGGATCTGAAACATTGGCCCTTCAAGGTGATCAACGATGGGGGCAAGCCAAAAATTGAGGTCGAGTTCAAAGGTGAACGTAAGCGTTTTGCCCCCGAGGAGGTCAGCTCTATGGTATTGACCAAGATGCGTGAAATCGCCGAGGTTTATCTGGGCGGCAAGGTGAAGGATGCGGTTATCACAGTGCCGGCATATTTCAATGATTCACAGCGTCAGGCCACTAAAGATGCCGGCTCCATAGCCGGTTTGAATGTGCTCCGAATCATCAATGAGCCGACGGCTGCCGCCCTAGCCTATGGCCTGGACAAGAACCTAAAGGGGGAGCGTAATGTGTTGATATTTGATTTGGGCGGCGGCACCTTTGATGTCTCCATACTGACCATCGATGAGGGTTCGCTGTTCGAGGTCAAGGCCACTGCGGGCGATACACATCTGGGCGGCGAGGACTTTGACAATCGACTTGTCAATCACTTTGTGGAAGAGTTTAAACGGAAGCATAAAAGCAACATTACCAGCAATGTGCGTGCTCTGCGCCGGCTGCGTACTGCCTGCGAGCGGGCCAAGCGGACGCTCTCCTCCAGCACGGAAGCCTCATTGGAGATTGATGCACTGCATGAGGGCATTGATTTCTATTCAAAGATATCGCGTGCACGCTTCGAGGAGCTGAACATGGATCTTTTCCGCTCGACCATAGAGCCGGTGGAGCGTGCCCTGAACGATGCCAAAATGGACAAGAAGGCCATACACGATGTGGTCCTGGTGGGTGGCTCCACGCGCATACCGAAGATCCAGCGTCTGCTGCAGGACTTCTTTGGCGGCAAGCAGCTCAATTTGTCCATTAATCCCGATGAGGCGGTAGCCTATGGCGCCGCCGTTCAAGCGGCCATACTCACAGGCGTGGGCAGCTCACAGATCCAGGATCTGCTACTGGTCGATGTGGCGCCGCTATCGCTGGGCATTGAGACGGCCGGCGGTGTGATGACCAAACTGGTGGAGCGCAATGCACGCATTCCCTGCAAGCAGCAGCAGACGTTTACCACGTACAGCGACAACCAGAACGCGGTTACCATTCAGGTGTATGAGGGTGAGCGCGCCATGACCAAGGATAACAATCTGCTGGGCACATTCAATTTGACTGGCATACCGCCAGCGCCGCGGGGCGTGCCCAAAATCGATGTGACCTTTGACCTGAATGCCGATGGCATTCTGAATGTCAGCGCTAAGGATAACAGCACAGGCAAATCCGAGAAGATAACCATCACAAATGATAAGGGACGCCTGTCCAAGGCTGAGATTGATCGCATGCTCTCCGAGGCGGAGAAATACAAGGACGAGGACGATCGCCAGCGGGAGCGTGTCGTTGCACGCAACACACTCGAAGGCTACATCTATGGCTGCAAGCAGGCCGTGGATGAGGCGCCCGCCGGCACTCTGGACGAAGCCGACAAATCGAAGGTGCGGGACAAGTGCAGCAAAGAAACAGCCTGGCTGGACAGCAATACCCTGGCCGAAAAGGAGGAATACGAGCATCACCTGAAGGAATGCCAGCGCGTTTGCAGTCCCATCATGTCCAAGCTACATGGCGGTGGTCAGCCGCCCAAGGGAAAATCAGCCGCCGGCAGCAGCACCGGCCCCACCGTCGAAGAGGTGGACTGAGTTGAGTGACTGGCCGGCACGAGCAACAATTGTATTGAATATGTATTTTGAATTTATGCAAATGTTACGTTAAATAACAGTTCATTATGTACGCAACCAGGTGGTGGTGGTGGGGTCACCTATATTCAGTCGTGTTTTAATGGTCGCACCGAGCAAGCCAGCTTTCGTGGAGCAACTCAGCTGGCGCAGCTGCAATGAGCTGCTGCATCCGCACAGCTGTGGGCGTGCCGCCTGGCATAATCTGTGGCGCTTTGCGTGCTCAAATGCCAAGTATTATTTGCCAGTGGCCATGCTGCAGCTGCTAAAGCAGGCGCTGCGTGGCGTCCAAGTGGAGCAGCTGCTCCGTGCTGCAGTGTGGTACCATGCACAGCTGGTGTTTGGTGGATTGGTCAATGGCTGCCTCATAGCCACATTCATGTGTCTGCTGCGGTAGTATGAACAAGGTTTTTTCACTTGAACAGCCCTCTATCTTATTCCTCTCGTGCATGCAGCCAGTTGCTGGGCGAGTTCCGGCCGCACACGCTGCTCTTTGTGCCGGCCATGTTGGGTGGCGCTTTTATTGCCCTGGTGCCCAGACGCGTGAAGCAACTGCAGCATACGGCCATCTTTCAAGCTGTGAGTGGACCATTGGGAGTGAACTCTGAGTGCTTTATCCAATCCTTTTAGTTCATCGAAAGCCTGCTGGTGCAGCGCGCCAATCCTCTGACCAAACTGGTGGCCACGTCTCGTTGCCTGCAAACGCTGCTCTTCATGGGCTCCAGCGCTATCATTATGCTGGGCAAGCAGCGCTGCTGGCACAATGGCTTCTGGTTTCTGACGCCCGATTGCCTTCGCCCGGAAACCCACTTGGACAGCACTCGATATGTTGTCCAGGGCATGCGTAAGTATCTGCTCATTGGCCTCGCCCTGGACATCTTCAAGGCAGTGACGTCCTGCGTGAAAACGGGTCACTGGCAGTTGAAGCAGCTGCGACTGGAAACTATGACTTGGCTGGGCTGCTACGTGGGCATCTATCGGGTAATACATAGCTATATTTATATTGAGATTTTATAAAAGGGTATATAGGATTTGTCGGAAATGCAGTATGCAAGAAGGATATGCCTGTTTGTCGCCTCCGACCGTCCGTCTGTCTGGCAGAGATTATCAAATCTTTATTTTCGATTTTTAGCTAAAGATCTTAAAGCATTTCCTGAAGCTTAAATAATTTAAAATTAGCATATTAAGTTTGAAGGCACAAACAGATCCAGAATATTTCACTTCAGCCATTCCCATTCAATTAAAAAAAAAAAACAATATATTCTTGTTTTCAAAAGGGTAAAAGTAAAGATTACTGGGTATCGCTAAGTCGTTCACTCTACCGCTTTAGAGCACTTATTATTAAAAGCATTTTCATTTTGTTCCCTGCACCCATTGAAAATGGGTAAAAAAGGGTATCATGTTTTTGTGCAAATGTATGTAACCAGCAGAAGGAAGCATCGCATCAAGTATATATATTCTTGATCAGCAGCAAAGCTGTCCGTCTGTCTGTCCGTTCGTCCGTCCCCCCGTCTGTCCATCTGTCGGTCCGTATGTATGAACGCAAGGAACTCAAAACCTATAAGAGTTAGAGCCTTGAAATTTTAGCTGTTGGTCCTTCTAGTGCCTGCACAGCTCGAGTTTGTTTCGTTCCCAAGCGATCGATATAAATCGACATCGGGAGTTCCCGACTAGAACCTCTTACTTGTCTTTTTTTAGATTACCCTATGCTCTATGCAGAGTAGAGCAGATGTCGGCCAAACACTACAGCAAATCGTGTCCAGCTTTCTGGCCGGCCTCAGCTTTGCGTGCTGTCCAAAACTAACCATTCTGAGCTATGCCCTGCTGGAAGCGGGTCGCACGCTATGGGGCAGAGTCAAGAGCCAACGGCGGCAAGCACGTTTCGGCTATAGCGATCTACTGTATCCCCTGGCCCTGGCCTATCTAATACACACATATGCATTCCAGCCGAAAAGGGTTAGCGCCTTGACGGGCATCATTATTGACAGCACCACGGCCAATTAGTAAGTTCTTTGGATGACTTCATCCTTTGCTGCTCTTATAGATTACTTTTCTTTCAAACGGAAACAGTGCCGGCAACATTGGCAAACGTCTCGAGCAGCTGCAGCTGGCTGGAAGATGTGTCTGATTTGAATTATTACTGTAATTAGATCGCTTTACATATATCGAAATATATACATATATAAATATCAATGCATTTTAACTATGGCATTTGCATATTAACCTTCAATTTGAACCGCAGCGGCGGCTCGTGTAGCGCATTCTAGACGCATATAGGGCCTGCCTGGGAGTCAGTCGCAAAGGTAACGTCACCGCAAAATGGTTTCACCCAGCAAGTTATTCGGGCCTCCAATCAATCGCTTGCATTGTGGACACATTTTGCATAGCCTGCCGGATCAGAGCTGCACGGAGGCCCTGTTCTGGAACCTGTATCGCAATCATGTGTCCAGTGCCAAATATTACTTGCCAGTCTTGTTGGTGTGTCCATTCACAATCTCCCCCAATCCGGAATACCCCATACAATATTGTCTTTTGTCTTGCTGCAGTTTCCATTAATTTTCAATTGGCGCCGGCAAACTAAACGTCGTCTGTGGGCTACAGTGAAAAACTATTTGGAAACGACGCATTTCGTCTCGGCCATAAACGCCTTCACAATCTACTTGTTATGCATCTTTCGGCGACTAAACGGACGTTACATTTACCTATACACACCGTTTATACCCTGCTATCTGGCCTCGCAGCTCACCTGGTGGGCGCCACCCAAAGTGCTGCAGTTCTATGTGACGGGCGTCACGCATGCGGTAAGTGTGGGCTCAAGCGTTTCGCATACTCTGTTCACAAAGTGATTAAGGGTATATTCGGCTTGTGCAATATACAACCTCGAATTTAGCCCTGATCTTCATGGTCTTGCTTGGGATCTTTTGAGAGTTCATGCCTTGGAAATATATTTTTTAAAGCAAGTCATCAACTCATAAAAAGATTATACTTCAACTGCTTTTGATGAGCTCGTTAAAGATTGATTTTGTCTAGTCGATAATAGATTTGGAGGATACCCTTCTTTGTTACTTGTCAGACTAGCTTTCATTATTTCTGTATTCCAGGCTATGGAGGCCGTACTACGTCAGCTGGATGTCAGCCTGGTGCACTCTCGGCCGGCTCAGACTCTGATATTCATGCTGTGCTCGCTTGTCGTACTGCGGCAGCAACAGGCACATGGTTATTCTGGTTTCTGGTTCATCAAGCCAGCCCGGATGCCGCTGGACTACAACGAGTGGTCCGCTGAGCGGCGTCTTAAGCAGGCTCTCATGGAATTACGCACCTATCTTGGCATTGGTTTGGGCTTAGATGTGCTCAATGCCGTACTGCGTATGGAACTTAAGAAGCTCAACTTCAAGTCTACCGGCTTTATGCTAGGTTATATGGCGTTATACAAAGTAGGATTAGCTGTACGTCAAATTTCGATTATAACAATACGCACTTCTTTTGATTCAAGCTAGTACAATGTGTGCTGGCGGGCAGATTGGAGTTAAGGTACACCAATTTGCTGGCGGCGTTCCTAAGTGGCGGTTCCCTTGTCCTGTTCAATCGCAAACCCCTAAGCTTCATGTGCTTGGCCGTGGTCACAGCAATTCAAGTATTGTGGCAACAGCTGTGTTCAGTGGATGCCAAACACAATAGGCTGCTGGCTGATGTGCAGCGCATACCCTGGGCCAAACTGCTTATTCCACCCAACCTGGCATATTTGTTGCACAGCATGATCTTCCAGCGTCATGTTGTGAACGGTTTGGCCAAGTCATTTATAAACAGCACGTGCGATAAAAAGTGAGTTCTATTTTTTACACGTTTCTTTTCATATTTAAAAATTCAACTCAATTCCATTTCAGCGTTCAACGTGTATATTCTTTCTTGAACCTGCCTGTTGAGACAATTATGAACACAGTTTATGAATTACCTGTCACCTCATTCTTATTTTAGCTAACACTTACCCCGGTTTATTCAAAAACATACTTAGAAAAAGTCGTTACAAAACGAATTTATAAAATTTCCGGCCTGCCAACTCGTTGTTAGAAATTGACTACGCGGCGTTGCCACATTGTTTACAAGCAAATGACACTAATTCCAACTGTTGTCCAATTGAATTAGCATAAGGGGAAACACACTTAAATGATCTTGAGTATATTCTACATTAATATTTATTGTCATTACTGTCACACAAATGCATTACATGCTGACGCAAGACAACTGTACGTGAAGGGAATAGAAAAGTATTTAATTTGTTGCGCAACTTGGATAATATAGGTAAATGGGTTGGATATATTGATAACATTTTACGAATCATTGGCTAGCCAAATATCTGAGGTGCAATCACCACCCGGGTAGCGCATTTCATGTGGTAGACTGGGTCCATATGGCTCCTTTCCAAAGTCAACAAAGAAATCCTCATTTAGGGTCATGCCACCGTTGACCACATCGATATCAATGAGGCACACATGTCCCCCTGCAGAGACCATGCTTGGATAGAACTAGGGCAAACCAAAAAAAATATAATAAAACTCTCACTAAACTGTTATTTAAAATCCTTGGGTCTGTGTGTACCTGTTTATCCCAAGGTGAATATAGAGAAGAGGATACATATAAGCGTTTGCCATCCAGAGAGAGCTGCATCATCTGAGGTCCTCCTTCCAAGCGACGACCCTTAATGTAGCGTGGCGGTGGCCTTTCCTAAATCGAAAATAATATAGTACGTCAAAGCCAATATAATTGTCAGCCAACCTACAGTCAATTCTTTGTCCTCCTTTACGATCACATTGGGAAGATCGCTGCATATGGCGCCTCCTAGCCAGACTCTAGAGATAAGCTTAGGTTCGTCTGGTTTGGTAATATCATATTGCCTTAGGTCACCATGTCGCCAGCAGTTGACATAAAGGAACCGATCATCCAACGATATAATAATATCTGAAATCATGCCACCCATTTCGGAGGCCGTGCCACTGCCAGTGTCCACTAGCTTATTGGGTATATCAATTACTTTTTTCACATCGAACTCATCCGAGTTGGTTCTCTTCTTGAAATAGAACACCTTGGCATTTAAGCCACATCCAACATATCCATCCGGGCGTTTTGGATCGTGCATGAAACGCACCTCCAATGGTGCAGCACCCTCCAGTCCCAGATCAACAGTTTGATATAGAGTTTGCGTGGACCATTTGTAAAAGTTCAATCTGAAGCCATACTGCGTCTTGTCATCCAAATCTTCCTCTTTCCAACCACTAAAATATTGCACAATTTAAAATACATAGCACCGGCCACACAAAACACATCATTAACGAACCGTCGAAACTTATTGGGTGCTCCCCATTCGGATGATACCATCACATCATAATAGGGCTGATACCAGAAATCATAGCCGCACAGCGCTTTACGATCTCCTTTCGTCCAGGTGCCAACACAATTGAAATCGGAATCAAATAGAATAAAGTCGCCCTTTGCATAGCCCTGGGCATCGCCCATTACCGATATCATTATGTTGCCATTGGCCAAGCAGTGGGTCGTATGTGGTGCGGTTACATTGTGGCTCTTTAATACGTCTCCGTCGATGGTCTTGATTATTTCGGGCTTGCGTGGATCCGTTGCCACGTCGAGAACGTAAATGAAATCGGAATTTAATGATGGCAATATCAGCCTATTTCTCTTTGGCACACTTTTTGCATTCTTGTCCACATAGTAGCAGCTGGAGCAGGCATTCCAGCCCGAATGGTGCAACTCGTTGCCCTTTCGGTTCGAAAAGGTGCGATGAATAATCTATAAATAAACAAAATGTTTTAAAACCAATATATAAAGGCAAAAGCTGATGTCATTCATTGACTGTTTAGTTTCTATAATAATAAAATTATTTGAATACCTGACAATATGTGGGACTATCCGGGTCCACATCGATTGTGGACAGATAATCGCCATGCGGCTCATCCAAGTTGGGTTGAATTGTCACCGTATAAAGCAGCTTCTCCCGGGGTCCACTTCTCATGGCGTCCAGCGGTGTCGCGTAACCGGGTCCATGGCAACAAGCTTAGCAATTATCCATATCAGTATAATTCATTATAATGTGGATTAATAGCTATCAGTAGAATAACAAATACGCTCAAGTGCCTGACTTGAGCCTTACCTTTTTCCGACATTCTATTTTTCGCACGTTGTTGTTGATCAAAGAACAGCAGAGCACTGGAACACACGCGAATGAGCATTTGCTTAAATATATACATATGTTTGCTATCGGCCGGTTTTGAGCGAGCGCTTCGTATATACATACATATGTACATATGTATATGTATGTGATTTCGTTCTCATCATGCTCTCTTAAAGATTCTCCTAGAGTCAATTTCGTGTATCATCAAACTTATCAGACACACGCCTTACCCTAGAGAATTAATGTTGTTTACTTTGTATTAAAACAGAATTTATATACATACATATACAAAAAATGTGTATATAATAAACTTGCAAACATCATGATGATAGAACTGATGTTCGGCTCGTGTGATAACAAATAAAGCAATAAATTTGTATTTTTAATTTGTTTTTTGTGAATTTTTGATTGTTAGGACAACAAAAAATCAAATAGAAGACGTAAAATTAAAAATTTTGAATTTGCAAATTTTGTTCTCAATTCTTTTCATTTTACTTATTTAATCGTTATATTCTCATTTATTTAATTCGTGCTATCGTGTAATCAGGGCCAGCCCTTCGTGCATATAAGCCACGGCCAATGTAGCACGATGTTCAATATAAGCACGATTCTTGCTCATCCTTAACTGCACATCGGCAACTGATGACAGTCTGGCAGCTCCTCATTGGACATCAGCTGTTCGCTGTTATTGTTCGCGCACGCTTTTTGTTTAGTTCGGCGTTACGACATGCGTTTGTTATCACAAATACGCAACGCATCAACACAGGCTGCGCGCCGACGCGTAGTTATTACAGGTAGCGGCGCCGTCACACCACTGGGCAATAATGTGGACGAGTCGTGGCAACGTTTGCTGGCGGGAGATTCGGCTATTGCTAGACTGGGCGCGGACTTCAAAGGGCTGCCTTGTCAGGTGGCGGCACAAATAGCGAGGGAACGCCTCGAGATAGACAAGCATTTGAGCAACCGGCTTATTCAAAAACATACTTAGAAAAAGTCGTTACAAAACGAATTTATAAAATTTCCGGCCTGCCAACTCGTTGTTAGAAATTGACTACGCGGCGTTGCCACATTGTTTACAAGCAAATGACACTAATTCCAACTGTTGTCCAATTGAATTGGCATAAGGGGAAACACACTTAAATGATCTTGAGTATATTCTACATTAATATTTATTGTCATTACTGTCACACAAATGCATTACATGCTGACGCAAGACAACTGTACGTGAAGGGAATAGAAAAGTATTTAATTTGTTGCGCAACTTGGATAATATAGGTAAATGGGTTGGATATATTGATAACATTTTACGAATCATTGGCTAGCCAAATATCTGAGGTGCAATCACCACCCGGGTAGCGCATTTCATGTGGTAGACTGGGTCCATATGGCTCCTTTCCAAAGTCAACAAAGAAATCCTCATTTAGGGTCATGCCACCGTTGACCACATCGATATCAATGAGGCACACATGTCCCCCTGCAGAGACCATGCTTGGATAGAACTAGGGCAAACCAAAAAAAATATAATAAAACTCTCACTAAACTGTTATTTAAAATCCTTGGGTCTGTGTGTACCTGTTTATCCCAAGGTGAATATAGAGAAGAGGATACATATAAGCGTTTGCCATCCAGAGAGAGCTGCATCATCTGAGGTCCTCCTTCCAAGCGACGACCCTTAATGTAGCGTGGCGGTGGCCTTTCCTAAATCGAAAATAATATAGTACGTCAAAGCCAATATAATTGTCAGCCAACCTACAGTCAATTCTTTGTCCTCCTTTACGATCACATTGGGAAGATCGCTGCATATGGCGCCTCCTAGCCAGACTCTAGAGATAAGCTTAGGTTCGTCTGGTTTGGTAATATCATATTGCCTTAGGTCACCATGTCGCCAGCAGTTGACATAAAGGAACCGATCATCCAACGATATAATAATATCTGAAATCATGCCACCCATTTCGGAGGCCGTGCCACTGCCAGTGTCCACTAGCTTATTGGGTATATCAATTACTTTTTTCACATCGAACTCATCCGAGTTGGTTCTCTTCTTGAAATAGAACACCTTGGCATTTAAGCCACATCCAACATATCCATCCGGGCGTTTTGGATCGTGCATGAAACGCACCTCCAATGGTGCAGCACCCTCCAGTCCCAGATCAACAGTTTGATATAGAGTTTGCGTGGACCATTTGTAAAAGTTCAATCTGAAGCCATACTGCGTCTTGTCATCCAAATCTTCCTCTTTCCAACCACTAAAATATTGCACAATTTAAAATACATAGCACCGGCCACACAAAACACATCATTAACGAACCGTCGAAACTTATTGGGTGCTCCCCATTCGGATGATACCATCACATCATAATAGGGCTGATACCAGAAATCATAGCCGCACAGCGCTTTACGATCTCCTTTCGTCCAGGTGCCAACACAATTGAAATCGGAATCAAATAGAATAAAGTCGCCCTTTGCATAGCCCTGGGCATCGCCCATTACCGATATCATTATGTTGCCATTGGCCAAGCAGTGGGTCGTATGTGGTGCGGTTACATTGTGGCTCTTTAATACGTCTCCGTCGATGGTCTTGATTATTTCGGGCTTGCGTGGATCCGTTGCCACGTCGAGAACGTAAATGAAATCGGAATTTAATGATGGCAATATCAGCCTATTTCTCTTTGGCACACTTTTTGCATTCTTGTCCACATAGTAGCAGCTGGAGCAGGCATTCCAGCCCGAATGGTGCAACTCGTTGCCCTTTCGGTTCGAAAAGGTGCGATGAATAATCTATAAATAAACAAAATGTTTTAAAACCAATATTTAAAGGCAAAAGCTGATGCCATTCATTGGCTGTTTAGTTTCTATCAATAACGATTATTTGAATACCTGACAATATGTGGGACTATCCGGGTCCACATCGATTGTGGACAGATAATCGCCATGCGGCTCATCCAAGTTGGGTTGAATTGTCACCGTATAAAGCAGCTTCTCCCGGGGTCCACTTCTCATGGCGTCCAGCGGTGTCGCGTAACCGGGTCCATGGCAACAAGCTTAGCAATTATCCATATCAGTATAATTCATTATATTGTGGATTAATAGCTATCAGTAGAATAACAAATACGCTCAAGTGCATGACTTGAGCCTTACCTTTTTCCGACATTCTATTTTTCGCACGTTGTTGTTGATCAAAGAACAGCAGAGCACTGGAACACACGCGAATGAGCATTTGCTTAAATATATACATATTTTTGCTATCGGCCGGTTTTGAGCGAGCGCTTCGTATATACATACATATGTACATATGTATATGTATGTGATTTCGTTCTCATCATGCTCTCTTAAAGATTCTCCTAGAGTCAATTTCGTGTATCATCAAACTTATCAGACACACGCCTTACCCTAGAGAATTAATGTTGTTTACTTTGTATTAAAACAGAATTTATATACATACATATACAAAAAATGTGTATATAATAAACTTGCAAACATCATGATGATAGAACTGATGTTCGGCTCGTGTGATAACAAATAAAGCAATAAATTTGTATTTTTAATTTGTTTTTTGTGAATTTTTGATTGTTAGGACAACAAAAAATCAAATAGAAGAGGTAAAATTAAAAATTTTTAATTGCAAATTTTGTTCTCAATTCTTTTCATTTTACTTATTTAATCGTTATATTCTCATTTATTTAATTCGTGCTATCGTGTAATCAGGGCCAGCCCTTCGTGCATATAAGCCACGGCCAATGTAGCACGATGTTCAATATAAGCACGATTCTTGCTCATCCTTAACTGCACATCGGCAACTGATGACAGTCTGGCAGCTCCTCATTGGACATCAGCTGTTCGCTGTTATTGTTCGCGCACGCTTTTTGTTTAGTTCGGCGTTACGACATGCGTTTGTTATCACAAATACGCAACGCATCAACACAGGCTGCGCGCCGACGCGTAGTTATTACAGGTAGCGGCGCCGTCACACCACTGGGCAATAATGTGGACGACTCGTGGCAACGTTTGCTGGCGGGAGATTCGGCTATTGCTAGACTGGGCGCGGACTTCAAAGGGCTGCCTTGTCAGGTGGCGGCACAAATAGCGAGGGAACGCCTCGAGATAGACAAGCATTTGAGCAAAAGTGATATAAAGCTCATGAGTCCTGCAACACAGTTAGCAATTATTGCAGCGGATGAGGCGCTGGCCGCAGCAAAGTTGAAGCCCAGCGAGTTGAATGGCGAGCAGCGGGAACGTTTTGGCGTGTGCGTGGGCATGGGCATGTTCGATCTGGCGGAGGTCTATGGCGCTTTTCAGCAGCTGCAGCGTGGTTACAATCGTGTCAGTCCCTACTTTATTCCCCGGCTGCTGCCCAACATGGCCTGTGGACACATTAGCATGCGTCATGGCTTGCAGGGACCCAACCATTCCGTCTCAACAGCGTGCGCAACCGGCGCCCATGCCATCGGGGATGCTCTGCGTTTTATACGTCACGGCGATGCTGACATTATGCTGGCAGGCAGTGGAGAGGCGTGTATAGACCCCCTATCGATTGCCGGGTTTTGTAGGTTACGCGCCCTCAGCACTGCGTTCAATGATAACCCGGCGGTGGCCTCGCGACCTTTTGATAAAGCTCGTGACGGATTTGTGATGGGTGAGGGCGCCGCAATGCTGCTTCTTGAAGAGCTGGAGCATGCGCGCGCCCGTGGAGCACCCATATTGGCTGAGCTACTGGGCTATGGTCTGTCCGGGGATGCGCATCACATTACCTCACCGAGCGAGGATGGTACCGGTGCCACGTTGGCCATGAAACGCGCCATCGCCGATGCCGGCATCGCGCCCCAGGATATTAGCTATGTCAATGCGCATGCCACATCAACGCCCACCGGCGATCGCATCGAGGCGCATGCCATTGGGCGCGTATTTGGCGACCATGTAGCCAAGGTATTTGTGTCCTCCACCAAAGGCGCACATGGTCATCTGCTTGGTTCGTCGGGCAATCTGGAAGCGCTGTTTGTAGTGCACGCATGCGCAGAAAACCAATTGCCGCCCTCGATCAACATTGATCAACTGGATGTGGATGTGAATGTCGTGACAAAGGCGTGCAAATGGTCAGATGATCAGTCACGGCGCATTGCGCTAAAGAATTCCTTTGGATTTGGTGGCACCAACGCCTCGCTCTGCATTGCCAGTTACACTGGGGAGTAATATTTCAATTTTACAAACATTGTTTAGAACTAATTGTTGCATGTGAATAAATAGCTTTTCTTTGTGAATAGTTTTTTTTTAGGAAAAATTTTAAAACTTTATTTGGAAAACTTTTCGGTTTCGTGTCCCCATCCCAATCCGCCAAAACCTAGCGTTCTGCTCTGTAAAAATCTATATGCGTATTGTATTGTGTAATGCGCAGAGTTCGTACTATTGTATATATCTGCGTACATAATATGTATTACACATAAATATACAAATACATATATATATTTATATTTATATATATATAGGTATCTGTATATGATGTATATAGCTCTGTTTGATTTGCTACTTTAGATCAATCAAATATTTGTTGTTCTGGTCGTTTTTTCTGACATTTGCTGGTATTGTTCCTTTTTTTGTTTTACTTAAATTGTTTAATTTAAAGAATTTTTATTTTACAAAATTACTTAAACTGTAAAGTTAAAAATACATAGATTGGCTTACAATTAGAATTTCTTTATAATCAATATATTTATAAATGTGGTTGCTCATTTTTTCATTTTTTTTCGTTTCTTTTTTTTAATGCTGATCTACTTTTAGATTTTACTTGTCATTTGCCAAATTGTTTGTTATGGTATCATTTATGCTCAATACATTTATAAATGTATATAATGTGGTTTTGATTTATTATTTATGTATTTTTAGGCGTAAATAATATGCTATATTTGTGTTCGTGTTGTGTGTTGTCTATTTTTTATCGTTTTGAAAGTGTTCATTTTCAATTTGTATATAAATTATGAAAATAAATTGTATTCGAAGTTATAAACATTATCCCAATTACTGTACAATTTGTTGGTAGTTTTTCGCTTTAAGTTACAGCATATAATTAATTTTTTAAATAATCTTGCACGTCACATTTGTTAACAAGGTTAGTTTCCAATTTTTGTTTTTATACTTAAAGCATTAAATCAATTTTCAAATATCTTTCGTCTATTATTTGCATATTCAAATTTTAAATGAAATATATTTCAAAATTACAGAGGCCTTTGAATGTCAAATTTACGTATCTGGTTTTTAGCTAGTATGCAACAAACATTTGCTCAACAAAATTTAAAAAAAAAAAAAAAGATTTTTTTTTTTGAACCTGAAAGCGCATGGTAGCAAATACAATAGTTTAGACAAATTAAAATAAAAATGACATACATTGTGTACACACCATGCACATGTACAAATGTATGCTTATGAAAATTAGACAATGCAATAAAAATAATAATAATTAAGAATTATTAAAAAATGCCTTACATAACATAAACTAATATAGAAACAATGAACTTATTATTCCTTGAGTTTCTCATACATGTCCAAAATTGCAGTGAAGTTAATTTTTTGTGTACGGTATACTGAGATTTAAATAAAGATTGTAAAAATTATGTAAATTATGAATAAATATTTGATTTGTTTCGCGTTGTGTTTCCTATTGCTTTAGATCTTAACACTTATTATCTTACTATTTCTTTTGTTTTGTTTTGTTTTTAAAAAGACATCTATTTAAGCGCTAGTAAAGTGGTTTTTCTTGTTGCTGTCAGTTGTTGGTTTTCTGTTAGTGAAATGGTTTCCAACTTCATATGTATAGTGGATGCTGCAACAGTTGCCTACACTAGATGTATGTATATGTATGCGGGTCTGTATGTATTTTGTTTGTATGCATGCAGGGGATGTATGTATGTATGTACATGGCAAGCCACTAAAAGACAGAATCTGGGTCACACTAGTTTAGCAATGCATCCATTGTATATGGAAATGGCGGATGCTGCTGTTGCTGTTCGAATCTGTTGGCTGAATATGACAGCAACTTTGTCGCTGTTTTTGCTGCTGATGCTGTTGTATCTGCCGTAGACGGTCAGTCCAGTATAACGATTTGTGATTCAATTGGTTTGCTGCTCGGCTCGGGGGCCATTGACTTGATAGGCAGTGAGCGCCATGGTTTGCGCGCCGCACGACGCAGATCCACAGCTGAGAGTATTTTTCGTGTTTTTCTATTGACAACAAGAAATGAGAGATTAGATATTGCTATCGTGCAACAACTATCGAATTGCGCTCACTTGTGTACATCTGTCGCTCTAAAGTAAACATCGTCCGGTGCATCCATCCAACTTATGACCTGCTTGCGTCCATTGCCGCCACGTGCCATTTGCGCAATCTTTTGCTTGCCATTGAGCTGCAAACAAATCAAATAATAATAATTACATTTCTACAATCGCAATTTAAGTTAGACCTACTTGATGTCTGGAGAGTGGTTGACCCGCTGCCGCCATCATCGCGGCAAACTGCTCCGGACTGGGGCAATGCGAGGGCATAGGATCCTTATTAGGGCGTTTGGCAGGCGGTCCACTGGGCACAATAGTCACTGCAAGTGCCAAAGCGAAATATTATTAATGGATGACAGAATGAGATAATATTTGACTTACCTTCGGTGCCATTGAGTTGCTGTTCCTCGTGCGCACGCTTGCGTATCGTAGACGTTGCTTGCGCTGGAATTATAGTTAGTTCTTTGTCAGCCGCAACTGGGACGGCGACCACATCGGGCGTTTTATTGGGCACACGCTCGTAGAGTAAACTGCCGTCTGGCGCTTTGGGCGGCTTGGGGAATGAAACAACAATGGGCTGTGGCATTTTATCTTTGGGCGTCAGCACCAGCCATTCATGTGGACCGCTGCCAGGTGCGCCCAAACGATTGGCAATTTTTGTGACACTGCCACGTTCCTTAGGTTTGAGCAAAAGCATCTTTTTGATATCCGCCTGTGATTTGCCGTTAATACGATTTGTAACTACAATTAAAAAAGTAACATAATACAATAATGCCATCTATATATTGAAGAGTATAATCCAATTTACATTCTTGCTTGACCAACAGCGCATTGATTGCGTATGCACTCTGTCGCGCCGCTTTCTTGGGTTTCACAATGTTTCGACAAACAATGCGTGCCACACGCGTCATGGGATTCGTGTGCAAATAGAAGGCAGTGCGCGTCTTCATAATGGGCCGCGGCGAACCCGAACTGATGGCAATGCCATGCGCTTGCGCGTAATGCCGGGCCAGGTGGGTCTTCAGCTTAAACTCTTTCCCGCAGTTGACAATGGAACACCTATATGTTATTTTATTAATGGTGTAATCTTTAAAACTTATTAGATACTCGTACCTGTGCAATTGACGATTGCTAAGATCACTAACTTTTTCATCTTCGTTAAGATCGACTACTGTTGTGGCGCCTGTGGCAGCTAGCGCTGCAGCTGGAGTCGCTGCAATGGCAGCCTTTTTCTTAGCCTCACCATCGTTAGCATCGCCCTTATGCGCCGATTTCATACTGCCGTACTTTCGCCAATAGTCCCAACAACTCTGACACAGGCGACATGGTAGATGACCATTACTAAACGAATTCCACTAAAGTAAAAAGAGTTTGCATTAGAAATAAATGTCTACATATTGTCACTTTGTTCTATCTTACGTGTGATGATTTAGTTGTCCCGCACGATTCGCAAGGTTTACCATTGTTGGATAAGTCGGCTCCGCCATTGGTGGTGCCATTATAGATGCCTCCAGCACCGCCGCTGCTCGCCTTCACGCTGGCACCGTTACCTTTGCCATTGCTATTATATTGCGGAATATAGACTTGTTTGAGCTTGAGTTCCGCCTCAACGGCCTTTACGCGCTTCTGCTGCACATAGCGATCGGTGGTCTTCCACATATAGTAGTATTCAATGATCTGCTTAAGCGTTTTCCAAGGAAGCTTTTTAAAGATAAAGATAGTTAGATAGTTTTAAATAGGCCTTCGGTTTAGTTTGCTTACAAAATCTTGTCGTATGTCATTGAAGTCTTTGCCATATTTATCTAGCGCTTCCTCAAAGAGATTAGCTTCCGATGCGCTCCAATCTTCGATTTCGTCGCGACAGAGTACTGGCCCAGTGGAAGGAACTAGCGAGGACATGGCCTCATCAATTGAATAATCGTGTTTGTGCAGAATGTTCATGGCGTGAAACTGAAAGCAGATGGAAAAACATATGGAAATTAGGAGGGATTAGCAACTCGACCAGGTTATTTTCATTCAATTGCTCACCAGTGTTATGTCTCGGCTGGCGGCCGCTGCGGACATGTGCAATGAGGGCTGCTTTACAGAACTGCTGCAGTCGAGGGCGCGGGCAAAGGTGCCAATGGAACGCGACACGACAAGAAACTGATCGATTTTGCGATCGGTCAAACTATGCTCCGGCGTCCATACCAGCGACTCCAGCTCCTCCAGCTTACGTTCATCTGTGGCGGTATCTTTTAGCTTGGCGGGTATATCACACTGATAGCGACTGCCGACACGTATTTCGCCCTTGTCGGCAAGCAACGTTTTTTGATTCGGATCGAAGACCAGACAGTAAAAGAATGTGTCCTGTGCAAGGCAAAGCCAGCAATTAATTAAATAATTAATAACATCATTTAAATTAGTAATCATTTTAATTCCTTAGACAATACAACTTACATCTTTATTGAGATAGCTTTGCAGTGACTCCGTTTCGTTGAGCAGCGTCACGGAGCACTTCCCTCGGATTTGTGTGGCGGGTATCGACTCAACTTGTCGTGATAGAAACAGTTCCCGATGCTTGATCTGGTATCGCTGTTTGGTGGTTAGCGCTTCGCTCTTCTCTGCATCGCCACCAGCAGCAGTAACAGCAGCACCGCTCGCAGCGCTGTTGTTGTTGTTGTTGTTATTATTATTATTATTGTTGGTATTGTTATTGTTGCTGGAATTGCCGGTGGTGGCGCCGGCGGACGCTTGCGTCGGACTGGTGCGTTCCTCTTCGAGTGCAGCTGCAAGCAAACGTAATCAAATCTTTATAAGCACAAGCATTCAAAGTATCGATAAAACTAAGTTACATACGAGCATTAAAAAAAATATGTTTTAGAACCAATTACAACCATTGCATTATCAATTTGGTGTTCGTATCTATACTACGTAACATAAAGGTACTAACCTTAACAGAAAACTTTTTTATACGATATACAGTGAAAGCTCTGCTGACGAACAAGTCCTTTAATTGGACATATGTTTTTCTAATTTTTAAAAATAATAATTTTAAGAAAATTGTTATTTCTCCAAAATATATTTTAAGCAGATATCTTTGTGTCCACTAAGCAGAGTGTTCACTGTATATAATGATCACAAATTTATGAATAGTGTTTACAGAATTTAAAGATACGAATTTACATGTCTTACAATAGTTGCAACGTTGTCTAGGTCAGTACCAAGTTTACTCTACCATAATAGATCAATCAAGACGTGAAAAATATTACAATACATGAACATTAGGTAAACAAAAGATTGTTTAATGAAAAATCTGATAAAAGAAAAATTTGCATTCCCAAAAGAAGATGAACTACGTTGTATTTTTATTTTTTATAGAAGTTACTGCTTTGCCATTTTGTACCTATTGAGGGATCGAGCACAGCTTGCGCCGCCTGCTCCTCGCCCACCGGAGTTCTAAGCCAGGTTTTCTTCAGTTTTGTTGCCAGCGGTGAGTCCTCGGCGGTGGCCACTGCATCATCATCAAGTTGAGTGGGAGGAATTTTTGGGAAATGTTGATTTTACAAATATACATATGCACATAATATATATATACAATGCTTATGACGTGAATGGTAACAAGCCGAGCTTAATTTAAATTTACTTTACTAATAACTGCAAATAAGTTGTCAGCGCGTTAAAAGTGAGGTTAAGTACGAAAAGTAATTTTACTAAAAGATGTCGCGTTTGCCCAAACAGAAAGCCCAACAAAATAAATACAAAACTTTTTGAATTTATTTTTAATACCGCGCCAGGAAGGGATGGTAACGGGTGGGCGAGGCGACCTCGCCAGTTGGGCGGTAATGTGGTGGTGGTGGTGGCTGCTGCTTCTGCTTCTTGAAGAGTGCGAGCTGCGCCCAATCCAAGCAACCAACCATCCCACCCCGCTTCCCCACCAAAGGACTGTGGGTGCATTCGTGAATTTACAAAAGCGTAGGTGAATAACGAAAGAAGAAGCAGCAGCAAGACACGCGCGGGGGGTGAGTGCGCAACTGTTCGGTAGCCATAGATAGGGCACAGTCGCACAGTCTGGCAAGTGCGCACGGCCGGGGGTTGCCAGATGGAGGCGTGTGCGTTTTGTTTGCTGACGATGTCTGCCTTTGCTTCTCTCGCTATTACGGGTATATTGGTTTTTTTTTTTCGTTTCAATACTCTTGCAAGGGGTATTCTAATTTTCCTGCATAATATGTAACACATAAAAGAAACATCTGCAATTCCATTTGGTGCATTATTTTTAATCAGTATTAAATTCCGCTGATATATATACCAATCCAACAGTACAAATTGAGTGGACCTGTTATCAGTGGAAAATTACATTTTTGTATGAAAAATGTTTTTGAAGATATGTTGACTTACCTACGACATATTTATCAACATCGGTTTAATAAATTATATATATAAGTAATCGGTCAGACATAGTTTCTGCACTAAAGCTCTGTCAACTAATGTGCATTTATTATATGTCCGCAAGGGTATTTCAATTTCGACATAACCAAAGCAGACGGTTTTTTGTTTTTTTTTTTTTTTGTGTTTTGCTTGAAACGCTGTCGTGGCCAGTTTTGAGCTTTTTGTATCATTTTTTTCTTCTTTTTATTTTTTGGTTTCTTGACACGGCCGATAGTCTATTTGCGTTGTTTAGTTGGTTGTTTTAGTAACTGTGCTAATTTTTAATGAGTGATTAGCAGCTAGGCAGCGAAATTCGCAGCAAACGCAGCTTCGAAAAAGGAGCCGTAGCAAACAGCCATTGAAGGGGTGGACGGCCATGAAGGGGGTATACTGTTAATGGGCATTGTCGACGCAATGTTAAGAGGGTGTGGGGCATGTGGGGAGGGGTTGGAAAAACGCATTTTCGTTGGGTCACGTATCGAATTTGTGTGTGCCACAACCAACCCCACCGATTGGGGGCTTTGTGTGTGTGTGTGTGTGTGTGTGTGTGTGAGAGGGGGTATGTGTATGTATACTTTTTGGTAGGAAGATACAGCGAATGGCTTTGTCCATGTAGATGACTGCTAGTTGCTAGTTGGGGTACCCTGGGTGTGTGTATGTATACATAAATGCAAAGCGCGGCTCCTTCCGAAGCTCCTGCAGTGCCAGGACTCATGAAAATTTTCGTGCACACACAAACATACACACATACACACACACACACCTATAGAGAGGCACAGAGGTAGACAGCAAGTCTACCTACCGCTGCCGCTACTGCCTAGTGTTGCCACATTGAGGCAACCAAAAACGGCAACAACATCGAAGTACAGTGCAGCTCTACACACATTATGTTTATGTGCTTATGTTGTTCTTGTTGTTGTTGCTACGGATGCTCGGATTCCGTTTACTCTTTGCTTTAGCTGTATGCTTTACAGTTGTTGTCATTGCGGTTCTTGTTGCCGTTGATGTTGGCTTTTATTGTTGTTGTTTTTGTTGTTGTTGTTGTTGTTGGCGCTGCTGATGCTGCTGCTAAGTGGGTGTGTATTAGTGTGAGTGTGTCAGTGTTTGGTGGGCTCCGCTTTGACACATTGCACACACTGGGCATATGCTGGTGTTAGTGAAAAGGGGGTTGCGCTGAGGTGTGGGCGGAGTAGCTTCGGTTTTGGTTGCGGCGCATGGTGTATTTCGCTCATCCTAAGGCGCCACCGCCTGAGCTTTGGTTCTTGTGGTGAAAAATATGCTTAGGATCTGTAGGGGCTTTTTGACTTATTAGAAGAGCGCGACGGCGCCTCGTCGCAACATAACCTCACTTCGCTGACCAACAACTTATACATACATACACACGCACATATACATTTATATGCTTGAATGTATGTGCCTGAATTGGCGTACTTACGTTGATGCTTATCGGCCAGCTGTACAAGCGGGTTGGGCAGATCACGACGTCGGTAGAAACACATGACCTTCGCTTCCACATTGCCGGTTTGGTTTTTATTCAGCTCCTCGATGCGGCGTATCAGGAAGGGACTATTCGGCGTTGTCTCAACGTAGACGTAGTCTGCAAAATTAAAAGTTGCATTATTGAATTTCAGTTGCATTTCAAAAATGAAATACGCAGATGTGGTAGAATAATTACAGCCCAAACTGACCGCAAATCATTCATTATGAAGGTAAAACGCATTCAAAACACACACAAATATCAACATACACACAAGCATAAAGTCACACACACACACACACGCACACATGTAAATGTATGCAGACAGCAGAAACTAGAGATAAGTAATATTGGGTTACCTTTGACTATACGAACAAATCAACGGCAAAGCAACAGTAAATAATTAAACAAAAAAAATAAATGTTATTTACTTGGCATAAATCCTAAAATTAATAGCGATAGCATATATTCGTGTATTTTAGTGTGTTAAAAGGGAAATTCATAAAATTTTCAAGGCATATAAGCAAATCAAAAAGAATAAATATAAAACGGCTTTAATCATTCTATTAATAGTTTCTGTTTTTTATATACATATACAATATTGCTTCGAATAGATCTAAATACATCCAAATTTGAGTAAAAGTGCGTATACTTTAATTTAGCGATAATTACAATCACAAATTATAGTAAGCCACTGTTTAACCATTTCTGTCAACCTATAAGAGTATTAAATGTCGATAATCTCGCAGTTTACAATCTTCTACTTAAAATTTACAGTATTGCTAGCTGCTAGTGGACACGCCGTTTAATTACGGCCACAGTACAGCGAAAAAGTATGCGCATTGCTCAATTAAATACAAATGTGGGCATCCATCCATCCATTCAACGAACGCAACAGAAACAACAACGATGTCCATGGGCTGAGGCAAGGGGCTGAGCACACACATACACATACACACACACACACACACACACACACACAAGCACACATGTACAGAGCGCGCCAGCAGCGACGGTGCGGAACCTGTCGCAGAAACCGTTGCTTGGGTTTTGACCACGGCAACAGCAGCAGAAGCAACGAAAGCCGATAGAAGAGAGAAAATGACACAAAAGAAAAAGAAAAAAAAAAGAGCAGCGATCAAGCGGTAACATTCAGCAGGCATAATATAAAAGGAAAATGTATCTTTTGCATTTGGCCGATGTAAAAAAGAGATGAAAAAGAAAGTGTCGCCATAGCCTGCGACGACACTGCGCTGTGTGTTTGTATGTGTGTTTGTGTATGTGAGCGTGGCTATTAAAAGTGACTAACAAAAAGCGCTGATGGAGACAAATTCGGAGGCAATGCGTGCATTGAGAGACTAAACCCATACACAAATATCATGAAAATGCCGAAAATTTATGCATTCGTCAAGCTTTTCCTTTTTGTATTTTGATTATTTATTTTGATTGTTTTAATTATCCGTTCGCATTTTCGCATCTACGGTTCATTTGCATTTGAATCGGACAAGCAGAAGAACAACGCCGTACAATGGGGCAGGTGAAGACAACAATAACGTCATCGGTTAAACAGAGTCAGCGAGTGAGCAAAATGAGTGCGTAAAATCTGTTGAAAAATGGGGGAAAACTCACTCGAAGCGTGAGATGCTGCGCCAAAAATATTGCAAACTCATTAGCATAAGAAAACAGAGCCAACCAATAGCAACAACAAAGGCACGAAAATATCACGAAATATACTTTCAATTGCACAAACACACGCAAGCACAATCACACATACACACACACACACACGCAAGCACAATCACACATACACACGCAAGCACATACGATGATCGGCAGGCGGATTTGTCAATGCAATTTTATTTCATCAGTATCCCCAACCCAACAGCACAAGTTCTCCTACATACACACACACACACACACGCACAGGCACACGCACACAGATATCAGTGCTAATGCTTATCGGGGCAACAGAAACATGTACTAAAAACACTTGCTGCAGCTGCGACAATTCGGCTGTCATACACATAACCCCTCTGCGCGGCCGGTTACTCGATGTTCCATTGCCGCTTCGTTGGTATTGAAAAATCGTCTACGTTGTTAAAACTCGCGTCGGCAAATCGACACAATTTAAAAGCGCATATGAGCGCATTTCACATCATCATCATTGATAACAGCATTGAGCGTATGGGGGTGTGAATATTTGGTAAGATTTGATAATTAAATGCACTTTCATTATTTCCTCAATTTGGAGTCCCATACACACACAAACACACATGCACATACGCATATAAAACGGCCAGGCGAAACAGTGAGACGGCGCCGATAACGAAAGATGATAGAAAAGCGAGTATGGAAAAAAAATTTTCTCACCTCCGACTCGATACATATTTGTGGCCATTTTCACAAAACTTGCGCACCAAATTTCACATGTAAAATATTCTGCACTTATTCAGCACTGTTTTTCAATAGTTTTGTTTCAAATTAGCGCACATTTATTAGCATAAAATTTAAGTTGTTATGATTGCATTTGCATTCACATAAGACGCGTTTTTTTCGTCGCCATCTTAGAAACAACTCTAAAAAAAATACACACACACACACACACTATGACAGCAACGAGTAAACAGCTGCATCAGGGCTGCATTTGATAGCAGAGCTGCCAACTAGTTTTTATATTTCGTTTATTTATTTGTTTAATAAATATTAATATATGGAAAGCTATTTAAGGTACACAAAAATAAGCATGCCTTACTGCTGCATTATATTTACAGAGTTTTATATAAACAGAAACAAAATTTGTATTGTTTGCATTCCGTTTTGATGAGTATACGTTGACAAGCTGTCTGCTACGCAACCAACTGTCAAATCCGTGACGTGGCCTGGCCAAACGATTTTTCCAATAAGACTTGCTTGTGTTATAATTAATTTTAAGTTAATAAACGCAGCGTAAGCGTCGATAAAGTCTTTTAAACGATGACTACCTACGAGGAGTTCATCCAGCAAAATGAGGATCGTGACGGAGTGCGCTTAACCTGGAACGTATGGCCTTCAAGTCGCATCGATGCCAGCCGCTTAGTGGTGCCGCTTGCGTGTCTCTATCAGCCCCTCAAGGAGCGTCCGGACTTGCCACCAATACAATACGAGCCCGTGCTGTGCACGCGCAGCAATTGCCGAGCCATTCTGAATCCACTGTGCCAGGTGGACTATCGTGCCAAGCTCTGGGTGTGCAACTTTTGCTTTCAACGCAATCCTGTGAGTACATAAATCCGCAATGATCTTTCTACTTGAAGATTAACACTTGTAATTCCAGTTTCCTCCACAATATGCAGCCATATCGGAGCAGCATCAGCCAGCGGAACTGATACCTGGTTTCAGTACCATTGAGTACACCATTACCAGGGCGCCGACAATGCCGCCCGTGTTTATATTTCTGGTCGATACCTGCATGGATGAAGAAGAGCTGGACGCGCTGAAGGACTCGCTGCAGATGTCGCTGAGTCTGCTGCCGCCGAATGCATTGGTGGGCCTTATTACCTTCGGCAAGATGATCCAGGTGCATGAGCTTGGCACTGATGGCTGCTCCAAGAGCTATGTATTTCGCGGCACCAAAGATCTGACCGCCAAGCAGGTGCAGGACATGCTGGGCATTGGACGTGGTGTGGCCCCAACGCCACATCAGCAGCCAGGTCAGCCGGGTCAGATGCCCAATGCACCGGGGGTTGGGGGGGCCGGACAACATTTGCCACCCGCTCATCGCTTCCTACAGCCGATCAGCCAGTGCGATACCGCACTGGGTGATCTGCTAAGCGAGCTGCAACGTGACCCTTGGCCGGTGCCGCAGGGCAAGCGCTATCTACGCTCCACGGGCGCTGCTCTCTCAATTGCAGTTGGCCTGCTGGAGTGCACGTACCCAAATACGGGCGGTCGCATTATGACATTTGTCGGTGGCCCTTGCTCCCAGGGCCCCGGCCAAGTGGTCGACGATGAGCTAAAGCATCCCATACGCTCCCATCATGATATACACAAGGACAATGCCAAATACATGAAGAAGGGCATCAAGCATTATGATGCGTTAGCGCTGCGCGCTGCCACTAATGGCCATGGCATCGACATATACTCATGTGCCCTGGATCAGACCGGTCTGATGGAGATGAAACAGCTATGCAACTCCACCGGCGGTCACATGGTTATGGGCGATTCATTCAATTCGTCGCTGTTTAAGCAAACATTCCAGCGCGTGTTTGCGCGCGACAGCCGCAACGATTTAAAGATGGCATTCAATGCCACACTTGAGGTGAAGTGCTCGCGCGAGCTGAAAATCTCTGGCGGCATCGGCTCGTGTGTGTCGCTGAATGTGAAGAGCCCGTCGGTGTCGGATGTGGAGATCGGCATGGGCAATACGGTGCAATGGAAGTTGTGCACACTAAATCCCAGCTCCACATATGCCTACTTTTTCGAGGTGGTCAATCAGCATTCGGCGCCCATTCCGCAAGGCGGACGCGGCTGCATACAGTTCATCACACAATACCAGCATCCAAGCGGACAGCGGCGCATACGCGTCACCACCTTGGCCAGAAAGTGAGTTTCGCCCCCAATCTAAGCTAGTTGGTATACAGCATTTATTGATTTATTTTCTGTACAGTTGGGCGGATGCCAACACGAATGTGCAGCACATTAGCGCTGGCTTTGATCAGGAGGCAGCCGCAGTGCTTATGGCGCGTATGGTTGTCTATCGCGCCGAGACGGATGAGGGGCCGGACATATTGCGCTGGGTGGATCGCCAGCTGATTCGCTTGGTAAGTGCTTAGCGCAGCGTTCTATGTGTATATATATTATATGATTTTCCTTGTTTGTTGATTGCAGTGCCAAAAGTTTGGAGAGTATTCGAAGGATGATCCGAACAGTTTCCGGCTGTCACAAAACTTTAGCCTGTTTCCGCAATTTATGTATCATTTGCGCCGTTCGCAGTTCCTGCAGGTCTTCAACAATTCGCCCGACGAGACCACATTCTATCGACACATGCTGATGCGCGAGGACCTCACACAGTCCCTGATCATGATACAGCCCATTCTTTATAGCTATTCATTTAATGGGCCACCGGAGCCGGTGCTGCTTGATACCGCTTCAATTCAAGCGGATCGCATACTGCTGATGGACACCTTCTTCCAGATACTCATCTATCACGGCGAGACGATTGCCCAGTGGCGTGCGCTTAAATATCAGGACATGCCCGAATATGAGAACTTCAAGCAGCTGCTGCAGGCGCCAGTCGATGATGCCCAGGAGATATTGCAGACACGCTTCCCCATGCCGCGATACATTGACACCGAACATGGCGGCTCGCAGGCGCGTTTCCTGCTCTCTAAGGTTAATCCATCGCAGACGCACAACAACATGTATGCCTACGGCCAGGTGGGTCTCAATTAGCTGACGCATTTAAACAGCAATTTTGTTAATCTATTTTGAAAAATTACGTTTTGTTTTCGTTTTACTTTCTCATTGTGTACCCCCCACTTCTTCTTGTTGTCGTTTAATGTTGTTGTTGTTGCCACGCGCAGGCGCCAATTGGTCAGACGACGGTAGTAGAAAACAAATTTTTGTTCAATTTATTTCACTTTGGGTTTAGTACTAAGTTACTTTGCTTCTTCAGCTCCTTTAAATGCTTCTGGTGCTGGCGCCGCTTAACCAAAACCCAATCCCAATCACAGTTTACTAACTCAATATAATTATTTTCATAGGATGGCGGCGCTCCGGTGCTCACAGATGATGTCTCCCTGCAGCTGTTCATGGAGCATCTGAAGAAGTTGGCCGTCTCCTCGACCACATAGAAGCTGTTATACGAAATGAAATGCCTGTAAGCCACGTATGGAGAGTTTTGGCACAGTTTTATTTTTTTGGCAGAGGCAATTACATAATTTAATCCCATATAATGCATATGTGTAGATTCCGATTGAACACGCCTGATAAATACAATAATAAACCACATTCATACATATTTACACGTATTTATTTATTCAAGCAACTAAATAAGTGATCAAATCATTTAAGTAAATAAATATAGTAGACTGGCCATTAACAAAATGCAAATATTTCAAGAGAGCGCGGAATGAAAGCGGCAATAAACCAGAATTTCCATACAATAAATTAGCGTAAAAGCAATCAACAATAATATCTTCATATTAAATATAGTTTATAAATTACTAATACAAGTGAATATGCCTCGAACTTGATATTAATTTGACTAAACTATTTGGTTCACACTGACTAAGACATTTGTTTTCTGTTTCTGTTATCATTGAGGCCTAATTAAGAAACCGTATGGACATCTTCTGATCGACATCGGTGCGATCCAGCGCCTTGCAAAAGTCCTCGAACGAGATCTTGCCCTGACAGCACAGATCCGCCTCCAGTATTGTCCGTTCCGCAATGCTCACCAACTGATCCTGACTTATGTTCGCGCCAACCATCATGTGCAATATCGACAGCAGCTCATCCCGGCTAATGACACCATCATCGTCCAGATCGTACATTTTGAATGCAAACTTAAGCTTCTCCTCGCGGCTGTTCAGTTTGCTCTGCTTGTTGTCCCGCAGCGGCCGGAAGTGGGCCAACACATTCATAAACTGGCGAAAGTTGACCCGATCATCGGTGCTCTCCGCAAAGAAGGAGTGGACAATGCGCTCGCAGAGCGGATTGATGGCTAGTTCGGGTATGCGCATCAGATCCTCTCGCGATAGTGTGCCGCAGCCGTTGCGATCCAGCGAGGTGAAACGCGAATACAGGCGCTCAATTTGATTGGGTGTAACTGAGGTGGGATACAAAAAATTAAAAAAAGATAACAACGGGTAGGATAGAGCGTGGCACCTTATCAATTGATAACAAATACACAGACAGTGGCGAAAACACAGCTATTATCCGATATAAAAACTCAGCAGTTGCTGGATACAAACGGGCGCCTTATCAAGCATAAATTACACCTACTCGGACAACTGATAAACACAGGTTTGTGTGCATTGATTGGGGCCCATCAAACGGCAGCGCGCAGCACTTTGCCCCCGCGGGTCGTTGGGACAGCATGACGTCATAAATTGATTTGGAAATTTATAACACCTTACATAAATGCTTCAAATTGAACTCGTTTCCAAACACTCAATTCGAAAACAACAGTTACGTTCCTTAACACTTAACGCGGCTGTGTGCTAGCTTAATTGTAGCTGGCGCTGCCGTACGCTAAATGACTTTAGACTATGAAACATAATTGAAACGATTGGGCAAAGCTATAATTAGTTGGCACAGTTGCCACTTAAGTGCAAGATTTCTGATCACAATGAGAATGCTTTTAGCAACTGCGTATTTGTTTTGAAATGTTTTTGACAATTTATACATGGGTAACCAGCTCCAAGGTTACGTTAAATACTATAACAGATAGAATACCTGGAGCTTGTGATTTGTATACTTACAGCCTGTTTCATTCTGTATTTGGGCAATTTCCTCGTGCCGCAGAAAGAGCGATGACTTATTGCCCATTATTTGTGGCTTATTTAAACCAATGAGAGCTACACAAACACAAAATTTCCACTGAATTGAACGGAGCGTAGTGTGACCGAGTTTGGCAAGTGCTAAAATACTGATATTCAAAGAGATAATGATGCAGCACTGCCAACTGCAATGCATTGACCAATCGATAGATTGTGGCGGTATGTCGATAGGTAGTACAATTTTGCTAGTCGGCAAATAAACAATTTTTACACAATATATAAACAATTGCTTTAGTTGCCCGAATGCAGATGGATAAGTTAAACCAGACTTTAACAGCCGTTAAGAATCTACGCTCAAATGTGCGGCAGTGCTTTGAACACTTGGCCGATGGCACCGACGGCGAGGGCATCGACGAAAGTCGAAATAAATTTGTGCACGATTTTCAGGACAGATTCGGTGCCATTAACTCGCAGTTGCGGTGAGTGTGTTGAAATTAATTGGTTAAAGCATTACTGAATGGCGTTTAACCGTTTGCAGTGAAGTGGAGCAGCTGATAAATGGCTTACAAGTGCCACCGACAGCCTACCATTTGGGCAACACCACATTTCTGGCACAGGAAACGTCACAGGATCGACAGGCGCTGTATCCGCAGCTGGTGAACAGCTACAAATGGATTGACAAGGTGCACGATCATAGTATTCTTGCGTTCAACAATCTCAATCAAAATACGCTGCGTCGCTCGTACAACTATTGCTCACAGAAGCGCCAGCGATTGCCCTTCTCTTCCTTCAACAACGATCCGGAGTGAGTGCACGATTTAGATTTTTTTAAACTTTTATATTAACACTTTTGTTGCAGCCACATAGATAAGCTATTGAGTGAAATTAATCATCCGCCGCACACATCCTATAAAGTCTTTCGTCCTTTTGGATCCAATGCCGTGGCCATTGTTACCATCAGCAATGTGCTCAAGGCGGCCATTGTTTTTAAGGGTGTGCTCATTGAGTGGGTAACAATCAAGGGCTATGATGAGACGCTCGAGCACGATGATCTGTGGGCCGAGTCGCGCTATGAAGTCTTTCGCAAGGTGCAGGAGCACGCCCACTCGGCCATGCTGCACTTTTTCTCACCCACACTGCCCGATCTGGCGGTGAAGAGCTATGTGACTTGGCTGAACAGTCACATCAAGCTATTCCTTGAGCCGTGCAAGCGTTGCAGCAAATATATTGCAAACGGTTTGCCGCCAACGTGGCGCGATTTGCGCACTCTCGAGCCGTTCCACGAAGATTGCCGCAATAGCTAAGCATAACTTTTATACTTCATTTATTTCAAAAAACAAAAAAAATTATATGTATGTATTTTGAATGCATGCGCCGCGTGGATTTTGAAAAATCGCAACGCGCGACTGAATAACTACAACGGTTTAATGCATTAATGGCCAGTTGAGGTGGCATCGACTCCAGCGGCAGCATTGGTTGTGCCTATGTGGACACCACGCTGTAGGCACAAGCGTTCAAAATTCTGGCGCAATGTGGCACGCAGCTGTTCGCGTTGACGCTGCACTTGCTCACGCTGGTATTGATAAGCCAGTACCACCTCTTGGGGAATGTAACAACAGTTCTCATCGTCCTGATCGTAGTCGTCAAAGTAGTCCTGTAATTGATATTCACTATAAGATTTGCATTCATAATCAATGTGGGTCCTTGCTACGTACCCACATCTGCAGCAATGAGAATTTTTGATCCAATTGCGTCTGTTGGCCATAGAGCAAACCGGAGACGTAACTGTTGCGGACTGCAACATCATCGACGCTTTGCTCCTCGTCCAGCAGCCCGTCATGATGATTGCACAGTCCGTCCGAGCACGAAACTTCTGAGCCTTCCGGCGACGAGATTGCGCTGGAAATGCGCGAATTGGCATGCGATGTGGGTGGATCGCTGCCATAGCCAGAATCGCGCACATCCTGCTCGCAGGGACAATTGGGGATGGGTGCTAAGCAGTCGTTGCATTTCGATGCTTTAGACACGTCTAAGTGGTCATCGACATACAATAACTTTTTAGCTTTCTTGCTAGCAGATTTTTGCTTCTTTTTCTTCGGTTGCTTCTTCGATTTCGATTTCGTTGATTTGTCACTTGGCGTTGGCGGCTTTGGCTCCGGATCTGCGTCTGCACAGAGTATAACGATGCCATCATCGACGGCGTCGTCTACAACCGCAGGCTCAGATTCAGCTTCAGCCTCAGGAATAACGTCATCTTCTTCCTCCTCGTAGTCCGTTTCGGCAGCGTCGTTCGCATTATTAATATCGTTTTCACACAGACGATGCATATTCTTTTTCTCATCCTTCTTCTTCTTCTTCTTGAGCTTCTTCTGCTCACGCTTCAGCTCCTTGGCTTTCTCCGCGCGACTGATCTCCTGATAGAGCAGCTCCAAGTTGCTGATGCCCTGTTTTTCCTCCACACGCTCATGAAAGCTGCGACAGAGCGCATGCACGCCCACAGCAGCCAGCACTTGGCAGGCACGCTCCTCCTCACGCAGACTAACATAAATGCGACGCAAGCGCTCGTACATGATCATGCCGACACACGTGAGCACCTCCTCCTGGGCGATCTCCAGCGTTTTGGCATGGCGTTCGCGCAGTTTCGAGTAGCTACCATTTACCTCCGGCTCGGCACGCTTGATAAGCGCATCAAGGAACTCGATTTTATTCGTGCTCACATGTATGTGCTCATCGGGCACACACTTGCGTATGTGGGCATACAGCTGTGCCGCATAGCCCTTCTCCTTGGTGGATACCTCGCCAATGAGTATTTTATAGGCACGCTCGATCTGCAAGGCAACATTGGCATTAGCTTGAAAATAGGATGCAATTAACGCAAGATGCTTACCTTTGTGCGACAGCCGGCGCAAAACTTGTGCTTCTTCAGATACTTATCGAGCACTTCGTGCAGTTCCTTTGTCTCAATGATGGTCACCTCGGTGCGACAATTGCTCTTCATGGCGGACCACACTTCGCGCCACGTTTCCGAAAATGGTTTGGCACGGAACGTGTCCAATGAATGGAGCACACAACGCGTCTTGTTGCGCAGTTTATTATCCAACAGATTGTTGAGCACCTCGTGATGCCTATATAGTAGAGTGCCCAGTGCCTGAGGTGTTTTTAGTTTTTCCTCCGTTATGCCCAGCGTGCAATTGTCGCGCAACTCCAGCGGGTCGACAGTACGATGGCCGGACTCAGCTAGCTGGTAAAACAAACGCTCCACCCTTCGCCGGCAGCCCACACACTGGACGCACTGATTGAGCACCGAAATGAAGCCACTGCTATCAATCACAAGCGATTGATTGCGTTCCGTTTCTGTGAGCAGATTAAATTTACGTGAGAATTCCTCCAGTTCGCGACCCCGTATCTGTGGGCTGTCAATGACAAGTCCTTTGCTGTTCAGGTCCATGAGCATCTAGCAAGAGGGGGGAGAACAGGTCAAAGACAGATCAGAGATAGTAAGAGAACAGTGTTGGCAACAAGAACACACACACGCACACAGAGAGTAACAAAGAGAAAGAAATGCATTTAAAACCTGTTTTTTTTTTTTTTTTTTTTTTTTTTTTTGTTGGTCGGTGTTGCCACTTCAGCAACATGGCGACCCTACGTAAGGTGCAGAGGGGGCGTCGGGCAGGTGCAGATCTGCCGAGCGGTTGCTCTAAGCGGCTGTTTATTATTATTGCAGACTTCAAATAACACACACAGAAAAACTGAAGTTTAATTAAACAACGTTTTCAATTTATGGGTGCAGTCGTCGACAAGCATATATATGTTTATGCACACATACATATGTATGTGTTTACTACGTATGTACATAGCACACAAATGCACGCGTACGTGTTATGAAAGTTTGACAATGTGCACACACAGGCATACACACAACATTCACGACACAAAAATGCATTAGTATGTGGGTTTGGAGGGGGTAATCAAATTATTACAATTTTTATGACACTTTTACAGCAGTAGTTTTACATTATTGCATATTAGCTCCTTTGCGCATTTTGTGACTTACCATTAGCTTATCACCTGCCACCAAAGGTAAATGCCTGCGGCCCACATAACCAGAATCATCATCATCAGTATTATAGACTTTAGTTAGTCTCGCCATGTTCTTTTGAAGACCAACGATGGCAGTTTTAGGCACTTTAACGACACACTTTGTGGCAACAAAACACAGCACAATGTTTGAAGCGTATTTTAAATAATATATTATACAATAATATGATGTTCTTTACACTATAAATCAACTATAAAAATGATTTTTTCTAAGATTTCAAACACGTATGTAGGGTTCAGCAAGTCGTCCGGTCGCCATTAATAAATAGTGTTGCCTAACGGGAGACATTTGTTATTTTTGCAGCACAGACACCAGTGCAACTGTGCGCCTCAGCGTTGCCAGACCGCAGTAAAAGTCATCTAGACCTCAACAAAATGAGTTTTTTTTAGCGCGTTTTGTTGCTCGTTTTGCTGGTGCAAAGTTGCATTTTAATAGTTTCCAAGTTACTACGCGTGCTTTTTGATTTGTTTTGGAAGCTAATTGTGTGTTTGCGAATTGGGAGAAAATGTCGCATCACTATGTGGTAACCGCACAAAAGCCCACAGCGGTTGTCGCCTGTCTCACCGGTAAGTAAAAGACGGGCATGATGTCGACGGGAACATGCACATTGTAGTTTACTCTTAACCGGCATTACTTTAAAATAAATTAGTTAAAAACAAGAAGCATCTTTTTTAATAACTCCTCAGGCAATTTCACATCGCCGACAGACTTGAATTTGATTATTGCACGCAATAATCAGGTGGAAATTGATTTGGTAACACCAGAGGGTTTGCGCCCGCTAAAAGAGATCAACATCAATGGCAAAATCACGGTTATGCGTCATTTTCGTCCGCCAGACAGCAACAAGGATTTGCTTTTCATATTGACGCGACGCTTTAATGTCATGATACTTGAGGCTCGCATGGTGGGCGATGCTGTAACCGTCGTCACAAAAGCCAACGGCAATGTCTCCGACTCGGTGGGCATACTTTCTGAGGGTGGCTTCATTGCAGCAATTGATCCAAAGGCGCGCGTTATCGGCATGTGCCTCTATCAGGGGCTATTCACCATTATACCCTTGGACAAGGATGCCAGCGAGCTTAAGGCGACAAATTTGCGGTAAGCCAAAGGAAATGCCTTGGTATACTTTAGTTTATCCGTTCTGCTTCTTATTCGTACAGCATGGATGAGCTTACCGTCTATGATGTGGAGTTTCTGCACGGCTGCCAAAACCCAACAGTCATAGTCATACACAAGGATAATGATGGGCGCCACGTGAAATCACACGAAATTAATTTGCGTGATAAGGAATTTATAAAGGTCGCCTGGAAGCAGGATAATGTAGAAACAGAGGCAACTATGTTGATACCAGTACCCTCATCCATTGGTGGCGTTATTGTAATTGGCCGCGAGTCCATTGTCTATCACGATGGCAGCAATTATCATGCTGTGGCGCCGCTCACCTTCCGCCAAAGTACCATCAATTGCTATGCACGTGTGGACAGCAAGGGATTGCGTTATCTGCTGGGCAACATGGATGGACAGCTTTATATGCTCTTCCTGGGCACCACCGAGACCAGCAAGGGTACCACCGTTAAGGACATCAAAGTTGAGCAATTGGGCGAGATTTCTATACCGGAATGCATTACCTACTTGGACAATGGATTTTTGTACATTGGCAGTCGCCATGGCGATTCGCAACTGGTGAGACTTAGTTCGGAGGCTATTGATGGCTCTTATGTCATACCAGTGGAGAACTTTACCAATTTGGCGCCAATTTTGGACATTGCCGTTGTGGACTTGGATCGTCAAGGACAGGGCCAGATTATTACTTGCTCTGGCAGCTTCAAGGACGGCTCGCTACGCATTATTCGCATTGGCATTGGTATACAGGAGCATGCTTGCATCGATTTGCCTGGCATTAAGGGCATGTGGTCCCTGAAGGTGGGCATCGATGACAGCGCCTATGAGAACACGCTCGTCTTGGCCTTCGTTGGGCATACACGCATTCTGACCTTATCTGGCGAGGAGGTGGAGGAAACAGAGATACCTGGTTTCGCGAGCGATTTGCAAACATTTCTCTGCGCCAACGTGGATTACGATCAGGTGTGAATTCAAATTAGGTGCATGTGTGCCATAATTTAAATTAATACATATTTATTGCAGCTGATTCAAGTGACTGCGGAGAGCGTACGTTTGGTCAAGAGCGCCACCAAAACGCTGGTTGGTGAATGGAAGCCCGAGGGCGATCGTTCCATTGGTGTCGTCTCCTGCAATAGTACACAGATTGTAGCAGCCTCGGCGCGTGAAATATTCTACATTTCTATTGAGGATGGCAGCCTAGTGGAGAAATGCCGAAAAACCTTGCCATATGAGGTGGCCTGCCTGGACGTTACACCACTGGACGAGAAGCAGACCAAGTCCGAATTGGTAGCCGTGGGCTTGTGGACAGATATATCGGCGGTTATTTTGCGGCTGCCCGATTTGGAGACGATTTACACTGAAAAGCTTAGCGGTGGTAAGTATTTAGTTGTAGATAAATTCTTTCATTCTTAAGTATTGTTAATCAGCAGCCGATTCGAAATAGCCTTGTCCGTCTGTCTGGTTGTCTGTTTCCATGTAAGCTAGTCCTTCACAATGCAATCCTTGCAGGCAATCCAATTATCAGAATCGCTCTAATTTAAAGATGAAATTGTCAGTCACGAGTTCTGTCATGATCCTCACACTTTAGACAAATTCTAATCCTATAGAATCCTATAGAAAAAATCTGTTGAATTTGAAAAAGCTATTTTTATCGTAATACCTTTAAACTGATAAATTAAGTGCTTTATATATTAACAAGGGTATTTAATATCTGGCCTGGTATAGATAGCAAGGGTATTTATTTGTTGGAGCCCCGAATGACTTGTCTTTTATTGTAAACAAACAGAGATCATACCACGCTCTATACTGATGACCACCTTTGAGGATATCAACTATCTGCTGTGCGCTCTTGGCGACGGGTCCATGTACTATTTCATTCTGGACAGGACCACCGGTCAGCTGACGGATAAGAAGAAAGTGACCCTTGGCACACAGCCAACCACATTGCGCACATTCCGCTCGTTTTCCACCACGAATGTGTTTGCCTGTTCGGATCGTCCGACTGTTATATATTCATCCAATCATAAGCTGGTATTCTCAAATGTTAATCTGAAGGAGGTGAATCATATGTGCTCTCTTAATGCTCAAGCATATCCGGACAGCTTGGCGCTGGCCACCAAAAACTCGGTTATATTGGGCACCATTGATGAGATCCAGAAGCTGCACATTCGCACTGTGCCACTGGGTGAGGGACCGCGTCGTATTGCCTATCAGGAGGCTTCACAGACCTTTGCCGTGTCCACTCTGCGCATCGATGTGCACGGACGTGGCGGTGCAAAGCCGTTGCGCAACAGCGCCTCCACACAGGCTCAAAATAGTAGCTGCAGCTCCAATATATTGCCCAAGCCGGGTGGCGGTAATTCGACGGCGGCCAATGCAGAAGTTGGCCAAGAGATTGATGTACACAATTTGCTGGTTATTGATCAGAATACATTTGAGGTATTGCATTCACATCAATTTGTACCGCCGGAGACGATTTCGTCATTGATGTCCGCCAAACTGGGCGATGATCCCAATACCTATTATGTGGTGGCCACGTCGCTAGTCTTTCCCGACGAACCGGAGCCCAAAGTGGGACGTATCATCATTTTCCATTATAACGAAAATAAGCTAACCCAAGTGGCCGAAACGAAAGTCGATGGCACATGCTATGCTTTGGTGGAGTTCAATGGCAAGGTTCTGGCCGGCATTGGCAGCTTTGTGCGCCTGTACGAGTGGACTAACGAGAAGGAGCTGCGCATGGAGTGCAACATTCAGAACATGATTGCGGCATTGTTTTTAAAGGCCAAGGGTGACTTTATTCTAGTTGGCGATCTTATGCGCTCCATAACGCTGCTGCAGCACAAGCAAATGGAGGGCATCTTTGTGGAGATAGCACGCGACTGCGAGCCAAAGTGGATGCGCGCCGTGGAGATTCTGGACGATGACACCTTCCTTGGCTGCGAAACACACGACAATTTGTTTGTGTGCCAGAAGGACAGGTGAAGTAGCATGGACTTAAGCGCATTTTGAACATTAATTCTAAACATTAAATTGTCTCTCTAGTGCTGCCACAACGGATGAGGAGCGTCAGTTGCTGCCGGAGTTGGCGCGTTTTCATCTGGGCGATACAATTAACGTATTTCGGCATGGCTCTCTGGTTATGCAAAATGTGGGCGAGCGCACCACGCCCATTAACGGCTGTGTACTCTACGGCACCTGCAATGGTGCGATTGGCATTGTCACCCAAATACCACAGGACTTTTACGATTTTCTGCATGGCCTCGAGGAGCGCCTGAAGAAGATCATTAAGTCGGTGGGCAAAATTGATCACACCTATTATCGTAATTACCAAATCAATACCAAGGTAGAGCCCAGTGAGGGCTTCATTGATGGCGATTTAATTGAAAGTTTCTTGGACTTGAATCGAGACAAGATGCGCGAGGCCGTCAGTGGTCTGGAGGTGTGTATAGCCTGGATTCTCAATCAATAATATATAAAATTAAATTTATTTTTTCTTTTGCAGCTAACGCTGAACGGGGAACGCAAGAGTGCGGATGTGGAGGACGTCATTAAGATTGTGGAGGATTTGACACGCATGCATTGAATCATTGATTGAGCTGTATATAGTTCATAATTATTGATTGATAAATCTACAATTTGTTTTTGTATGCTTTTAAGCGTGATTTCGATACCATGTATCCTATCCAATACAGCTCATTATTCTCTAAATGTTCTCCAAAACCTGTCTACTAACAGTTGACACTGTTTATTCAGCGTTGCGTTTGATTCTGTTCCTCGCCCAGCTTTGACTTTCAATTATATAGCAAAAAAAAAAAAGAAGAAAAACTACAACTATCGTTTGACGCACTTTCAAAGTTGCGTCACGCAATATTTGAATAAAGTGCTTAAATTTAAATCTAATACAAGTGTTTGTAAAGAATTATTTCAATACATAATATTATACGAATTAATTTTTAGTCGATTGTTTGCATTGTTTGTTTGGCGCATGTAAGGCAAGGTTTGCAGTTTTGGAATTGATATCATATTTAAATCTTAATCTACGCTTGCGCAGCGTGTTCTCTCAGCTTACGCACCTCCAATCAAAACACGGCGCGAGCACGTCCATAGTATGAGAGGCTTGCGTGTATGTATGTGCGTTTAGTTCCGGAGCAGGCGAACGCTGCTCACGTGCGACATGGAAACGTGAGCAATAAGCATTTGGGCAAAGGGTCGCAGCGGGCGGATCGCGGCATTGGTGTTTCATTCATTAATACACGCACGCACACACACACACACACTCACTCACATTAACATATTTACGTGTACATATAGACAGCGACTGGAATGCTGCATGTGCGCTCAGCAACCGCCACTTTCCAACACCCGCAGGCAAACAGTTGTTTTTACATATGTATGGGAGTTTGTGTATGTGTGAGTGTGTGCGTTGTTGTTGTTGATGAGTGCTGTCTGTGCTTGTATGCGTGTGCGCACTCGTTGCGCCTCCACATGCTTTGGCAGCGCCTGCTGCCTGCGCTGCTGCTGCTGCTGCTGCCTGCGCTGCCTCGGCTGCCTCGGCTGCTGCTGTCTCCCCCAGGTTACTGCAGCTGAGCTCTCGGTCCATTTGAGTAGTCACTCATTCGTTCGCCGCCTGTTCGCTGGTTCAGCTGCGCTCAAGCGCCCGTCGTTGCCGTTGTCGTTGTCGTTGTCAGAAGCGTCCTGGCCGCTCGTTCGTGATTTATACACACACCCACACATACGCACACACATACACAGAGCACTTACAATTCGCTTTAGAAATATTTAAACAATTTTTGCATGCAACAACAAACGTCGCCAATTGTTCAAGTGTCGTAAAATAAAAATTTGTAACGAAAAAAAAAAAATAAATAAATAATAATAATAATAAAAATAATAATGTTAAGTGGGGCGCTCATTAAAAAGTTGTTGGTTTCTCCATAATTTGTGTTAACATAAAACTCGCCCGGCCGCAACGCATTTCAGTTAATTTTTGCAATAACTAAGCTAAAATGTGCTAAACAACAATTAACATTCCTTTTGGCCGTCAATTTTGCAATATTCATTTATTACTCGCCGATTTGTTCGAAGCGCACTTTGGGATTAACAACGGCGGCCATTTTGAAACCAAAAACACCCAGCGGCAAAACGGATAGCTGCCCCAAGGTGAGCCAAAATCATGCGTGCGGCACGCCCAAATCTGCTGCAATTGTAAATATAATAAAATATCTGTAGTTATTTGCATACCTTGATAAACAAAAGGTTACCTTGTCATATCATTTTGCCGTCGGCATTGGCTGCCATACAAAACCCTAGAAGATGACTCAAAATCTATTCAACAAAATAGAAAACAACAACAACAAAAAACAAGTGTAATTCAATGCGAAAATTTGTAGGCGAATTTGAAAAACATTTGTTCAAAAAAAAAAAAAACAAAAAATGAAACTCAAAGAACCCCGAGCCATTGACATCATCGTCATCATCAGCAAATCCAACAAGCATCGGGCATGTCACAGAGAGTCCCAGCACCGATCGCCGACCCCTCACTCTGCTCCGTTTGCCCTAATGTAATCGGACTCCCTGGCTGCGTTGGCGTTTGGTGACGACGCCGTTAAAAGACCAAGAATCAGAAATTATTGTTTAGCAACAATAAAATGCCTCGTCCTACCCCCGAAAAAAAAAAAAAAAAACAAAAACTGAACACCATAAAGCGCAACGCCCGACTGCTAAATGCAAATATTAAAAAAACAAAAAACCAACAACAAAACGTTTTATAATAACGAAAAGGGAAAAACAGCAAATCGAATTGCAGTCAAGACTCCGACCGCAACTGCGACTGCGACTGCGATTTCGACTCCGACTCCGACTGCGACTACGACTTCGCCTTCCACTCCAAGTACGACTCAAAACTCAGACGCAGCCTGCACGGACCATGTCGGTCATCAGGCTAATTTTCTACGGAAACCGTTGGCAGCCCCATAAAATCATGCATACATCCATATATGACATATATAGTAGTAGTATGTACATGTGTACATACATAAGTCAACGACACTTTTGTAAAGCTGTGGCCATTCGATCTTTGCTAATATAGGCGGCAATGAATAATATTTTATAGACCTCCCATTGCTGGCATATGCTTGCTCTTGAAAATACCAACACAGACTTTGCAATGACAACAGAACCCAATTGAGCCTTAAGTCTGTTAAGGAATATATATATAGCTTTGCATAATTGTTACCCATTTCCCACCAGAAATGATTTGAATAAATCTCATGTGAATATTTACGCAGTTCCTGAGAACCAGCGATCGGTTGTTAAGCAAAAAAGTTTTATTTCACTGATTTCCGTGCATTTTCCACACTTGCGGGTGAAATTTCGAAAATCAATGAAATAAGTGCTTTGGTGGGCTTTTTCAATTGTAAAATTGTTAAAAATTGTAAAAAAGGTAACCACAGTAAGAAGTTCAGATCTTATAACAAGGGCCGTGCATTGATCCCCAATCAGTCAGTCAGGCTTACAAGTTGCATAATCGAATCAAACTTTTTGTAAACTCTAATTGTTGTCATTTAAATTTTAGGTTCAAAATTGTATGTTCTGTGGCCATACGCATACATTGCCTGGAGAATTTTAATTTAACATAATTATGATGATTTGTTTTTAATTTAACATAATATTTAACATAAAGGTTTTAATCCGAGGCAATAATATGGAATAAGTGTTGTGTTAGTCGCAGGCGAGAATATTCAAAGAGTTGGGCTTAAGACTTTAATATTACTTTAGCTTATATTTATTTTAAATTTTTCATGTCAACATCGAGACTCTCACATAGTATAGACAGATTGATTATGGACAGATTGGAATGCTTTCAGGTCTAAGAACATTTTATGAACAGCCATGGATATTGGGGTCTTTAATAGTCTCAACGATTTGCATAATAGAAAATAGAATAAGTTTGCTCAGTTTATGTCAACTTACTCTGAGAAAAGAAAGAAGTTATACCAAGGTTTACATATGGATGTAAATATGTGCCATCCATACTCATGCGACGTCTTTGTCTGTATATAAATCTTTTGAAATATTTTTGAGCCGTGTGTATTTAATGTTGAATATGCAAATTGCGCATAACTAATTTGCATTTACGACAACAACAATAAAATAAAAAAAAAGCGACAAAAAAAATAATAACTAATAATCTGGCGAGAGGAGACGAAAAACCGATTCCGAGACCAAGTCAAAGACGCAGAGTTCGGCGACAACGACGCTTGAAGATATGCGAATAATTTACAATAATACTTCCAGGAAGGCAAAAGGAAGAGCCGAAGCGTCGCAAATATGCCACGATCGTTGGCGACTCTCGCTGGAACCTGATGAGATGCGTTGTCCAGCGCTATGAAGTGACCATGACGGACCACTCGAAGGCGACAAGCCGGCCGAAGGTGTCGCGCGCCAAGCAAATTAGCGGCTGTGTCCAATTGGAAAACGAGCCACAGACGCGTCACACGATTAGCGAATGTGTGTGTGTGTGTGTGTGTGTGTGTGTGTGTGGGTGTAGCTCTGTGTGTGTGTGTGTGTGTGTGTGTGTCGCCTTGTCACGTGAAATCAAATCAGGCATTACAATTTTACGCTCAATCGCCAGTGTAATTGAGCCGCACAGCCGTCGCGTTGTCTGCCACAAAATCCAAATCGGTTGTCGCTGCTGCGCCGCGGGTTTTCCGGCTGCGGAAAAACAAGCAGCTTCCGCTTAAGCCGGAGTCAAGCGGCTGCCAATGAGGCATGCAGCGCAGCCGGCGCAACAATCTAACAAAATGTTCTGCTTCAAAACTAAAAATATACAACTATAAAATAAATGTATACATATTATTTATCCTGTTCCCATTGGGGGAGGGGTGAGATGGGAAAGGCCTGTTATGGTTTTGTATATTAAGTATATACATTGTTGATCAGCATCATATATTCTCTATATTCTCATATATATTCTTGATCAGCATCGATATCTCTGAGATTAGAACTAGAGATTAGATTTAAAAAGCACACTGCTAGCTACTTTCGTATGTAGATCCCTGATTTGATCGACGAATCCAGAATATAATATATTCCTGCGTAATTAAGTAAAATATGTATGATATAGCGCAGTGCTTGAGTCTTAAAAATTCCATAACGATCGGACTGTAAAGACCGAAGTGCGTGGCTAAGGGTGTTTGGGTTTTTTGAAGGAAAACTTTAAAAGGAGGTTCGAACATTAGCAACAGCTGCTTGGTACAGGGTATCTTTCAGTCGAGCACTACCGCACTCGAATGCAATACAATATTTTAGTTTTTTTCTATAATATTAACAGCTATTTGTTTATGGCTTAATTTATGCGCTAACACGCCTCTGCCCTGTGCTGGCACACATTTTTTCCCAGTTAAACCAGCTTTGCCTTGTAGTTTGTCCTTAGCCCGTTGTCCTGTTGTGTCCATTGTTTGGATCACGTACCGATGTGCCGATATCGAAACTGTTCGATCTGTGCAAGTAGAAGCAGCAGAAGCAGTAGCAGAGAGCCGCAACTTTGTTGCCAAGTGAGCAGCAGACCCAAGGAGCTGCTCCTGCTCCTGCCAAGTCCTTTGTGCGCATCCTTCTATTCCGCTATCGGATAACAGCGCCCGCATTCACGTTTCATATTTTGCCATCGCCCGAATCTTGGGCTTAGAACTTGTAAGTTTCTGTTTTTTATTCTTTCTTTTTTTTTTTTTTGTCCATGCATGTTTACAAACAGGGGTTAAAGCATTTTGTATAAAATATATGGGATTCCTGTGCATTATGTTGTGTGTGCTCGTATGTTTCTCGATATCGATCTCTGCCCTGGCCATATAGGCATGGGAAAACTATGCTCATATGCTGTTGACCCCTTTTCATATTTCGTTTCATTATGAAATGCATAAATGCTTGCATTAATTTTGATTGCCTTACCTAAAGCTGT